AAACGGGTTGGTAGAACGTTTTTACCAACAACTAAAAGCTTCGCCATCAGCTGCAAACGTTTCACAGTGGATCGGCGCTCTTCCACTCGTCTTACTAGGTATTCGCAATGCAGTGAAAGCTGACATTGGATACACTGCAGCTCAACTGGTTTATGGAACGACACTTCGACTCCCAGGAGAATTCGTGGATCCTTCATTATCTTCAATGAATAAGGATTTCTCCTACATGAGCAGGCTTACAAACGCAATGCGTTCCACTCGACCGCAGTCAACTGTCGCTTTCAACCTGACTTACGATATAGTACACACGTTTTCGTTCGTCGAGACTCGCATCGATGACTTCTCGAATCAGTATGCGAGGGACCTTTCAAAGTTCTTCAGGGCGAACCAAAGCACTATAAAGTCTATGAGAACAGAACTAACCATAGCATCAGCGTCGACCGCATCAAGGGAGCGTATTTAGAAGGAAACCCTATCCATTTCGATTTTCTTTCGGCAATTGAGAGACCGATTAATTGCAGGAATCAACATATCGGCTCTGTAAAGAGAGCTGTTAAGACTGCCGAACTGTTCCTTTCAAGATGCTGGAACTGTATGTATTAACTACGAGGTGGTGAATGAACTTGATGTCCAGTCGATGAAATTTTCTAGCACTTTGCTTAGTCGTCATGATGAAATACAATCTCAGGGTCGGTGAAACTTGCGTTCTTTTAATAGTGATTCCTATTCTCGTACAAATATGAAATGTATTTCAAAAAGGAATTACAAAGCAAATCACAAAGGTGAGATCAAGTTTGGTAGCTGTTTATCGTCTGGTAAACTTCATTTTCGTAATTCATGTGCATTTCGTAGTGGTAAATGTTTTAAATGTGGTAAGGTAGGACACATCCAGTCATTGCATGAATCTGTCCTTAAAGATCTTCATATTGGATATTTAGGTGTTGAGAAAATGAAGTCTTTTGCAAGGATCACATGTTGATGGCCAGTGATAAATGCAGGTATATGTCGTACAGAAAACAATTCTGAAAAATGTCATAAGTTGAAAAATCAACCTTTGAAGTTGACTTCACGGCCAGTATCGTCTGAGGCCTGACAGAATATTCATGCAGACTATTGTGGTCCATTTCTTGGCAAACACTATGTACTTGTATTCATTGATTATTTTTCAAAGTTCCCTGGCGTTTCTTTCACAACTTCACCAAATTCTGACCTCACAATCCAGGCATTAAGAAAGGTATTTAGTCGTGGAGGGGTCCCCGTGATGTTAGTTACCGATAATGGCTCTCATTTTGCTGCGGATGCGGTCAATACCTGGTTGAATGGTATAGGGTGCAAACAACTGTTTACTGCTCCCAGACATCCTTGTTTTATTGGTCAGGCAGAAAATTTTGTCAGGACATTGAAAACTTCCACTGGTTCTATTGCCGCTTCGACATTTAATGAGTTGGGGAGGGGAGTAGATACTTTTCTACTGCAATGTAGAAGTGCTAAACATTCTGTGACAAAAGAGACTTCACCAAAGCTATTAAAAGGAAGAATTCTTCGTTCGAATATGAGGTATTTGGAGTCTGCAGAAGTAACACATTATCGTAGAAATGATCTTCGACCATCCACGGGGATTGTGCTGGAGAAGATTGGAAAATTCATGGTGCAAGTTCTAAATATCAGTGATCTAAGTACACACAACCGACATGTTGACCAAATACTATTCCAGCAACCAGGTGAGTCTGTTTCAATTTCGATTGTTAATTCTAATGCTAATGAGTACATTCTAGATAATGGAGAGTCTTTATCAAATACACTACCGGACAGGCACAGGATGAACTTAAGAAGACGTACGATCGATTACAGACACTTAGATTTCAATTTAAGCAGCGGCGGATGTGGTGTTTGAATGAACTAATGGTTCCTTTGAACTTGTTGAATGCTTGATTTCGAATCCCTAATACAGTACATTGGTCCGCTCTTATCTAGTACTTCTTGATCCAACTGCGTTATTTCTGGGATCCCTAGTCTGTACGATAATTCATATACTTCTAATTATCATGGAATAGCAACCCTATCTCGCGGAATATAACCTCAATAAAATAACCGTAACCAGAAAGAATAACTTAAACCACTGAAACTCTGACCTGGTGGTTTAAGCATCTTCATTTGGAAGAATTATGACACTTTATTTTTGAAACCAAATGTCATGGTTGAAATATCGACGACCGTACAGAAGACGAAGCACAGTATAATTAACTATCTCCAACTGCCGAACCAGAATTAGTGAATAGACAATTGTACAGGAACCCGTTTATTCATTAGTTACAGTAAGTCAACCCACTGGTACAAGAATGATGGTACGATGTCAATTACAAGAGTCTAAAGAACAAAAAAGCATAAACGTCTCCACAGTTTCTATGTTTATTACCACCGGCCCTCAGTTTCAACCATAAACCTCAGACATCACACGACACAACTACGCGATCGCTTACGATATGGTGATACGAGCGCTAGAAAAAGAAACAGTACAAGATCAAGACCTAGAGATAAAGGATCTTTATGCAGAAGAATTCTGGCGCCTCAGAGTGAAAGCAGAGATACTTTGGAAGTCACAAGGCCGATGTTCCTTCTAACAACCAGAGAGACAACTAATGAAAGTACACCTAATGTCCGGACAGTGTTGGAGGACAAATCAATTAGCTACGGAACTGAGGAGATACAACTTGGTGGTGCTCGCATTCAGTGAAAACCATTGGACTGAAGCTGGACAAAAAAGGTTAGATTCGAGTAAGATGCTGCTGTACTCTAGACATGAAGAAGCAAATGCTCCGCACAATCAGACAGTTGCTCTGACACTGCTCAAAAAATCACAAGAAGTACTTATAGGATACGAGTCTCATGGATTCAACATCACCAAAGCATCCTTTTAAACAAAGAAGTAGGGAATCATGATGAATGTTATCCACTGCTATTTACCCACCAATGATAGGAATGCAGATGACAAAGATAAGTTTTACAAGAAACAGCAACCGGTTGTGGAGAAGTGTTCAGGAAAAGACCTGATCATCCTGATGGGACACCTGAACATCCAAGTCGGAATAGACAACACCGAACAAGAAGATATCATGGGACTACATGCACCGACTGGGAGAAAACAATGAGGATGACGAGAGGTTTACGAACTTGTGTGCATTCAACAAAATGGTTATAGGTGACCCTGAATTTCCCCACAAACATATACACAAAGCTACATGGGTTTTACCTGATCACTCTGTACTAATCTTTGTACTAAATAATATACTTGTCAAAGTAAATACGTGGATATTTACCTAATTATCGTATACTATGGGAGAATTCATAGTGAACGGGAAATTAATAAAAGAATTAAAATTAACTGCACTCGTGCATTATCCCAGCCTTCACATAAATCGAGTGGTTTATTCGGTGCCTCTGTAGCGTGGCGTCGAGTTGAGATCAACTTTGAACACCGCTACGAAGAAACACGTGCCAAGTAAATCAGAAGGCGAAGTTTGAACGTATTCAGATTTATTTCGTTGGCGATCTCGTGGTATTGAACGAATACCAAGATCGTGCCAAGGAATGGTACAAGTGGAAACAGGAGAACGGAGTACGTGCAAACAGTACCGAAAACCGCGGAACAATGATGGAAGGTAATGGAAGCACGAAATGGGTATAATTAGCACAGTTAAACAAAAGCACATTAAAGCAAACACTGGTACAGTTGGTTATAATATTAATTGTTTTTATTAAACCAGTCGTGTTCTCGTGATAAATGTGAGTCACTACACCTAGTTGAATCAATGTTTGTGTCTAAGTTAATAAGAAAAACTAAGTTTAATAAGTAAATATAGCACACAGAAAAACTACAATAAAGTATTAACCTTCAGGAGAAATTTTGCAATAGATTATTCTTTATCGGTGAGGGTGACTTGGTCTTACTTACTTACTTACTTACGCCTGTTACTCCTCGTGAAGGAGCATAGGCCGCTCACCAGCATTCTCCATCCAACCCTGTCCCGGGCAATCCTTTCTAGCTCCGTCCAGTTGTAATTCATCGTTTTCATATCTGCTTCTATTATCCGACGCAATATGTTCTTTGGCCTTCCTCTTTTTCGCTTCCCTTCAGGATTCCAAGTTAGGGCTTGCCTTGTGATGCAGTTTGACGATTTGCGCGATGTGTGTCCTATCCATTTCCATCGTCTTTTCCTAATTTCTTCTTCAGCTGGAAGTTGGTTTGTTCTCTCCCACAGAAGGCTATTGCTGATGGTATCCGGCCAATGGATGTTGAGTATCTTGCGAAGACAGCTATTTATAAATACTTGTACTTTCTTGATGATGGTTGTTGTAGTTCTCCAAGTTTCAGCTCCATACAGTAGAACTGCCTTGACGTTCGTATTGAAGATTCTCACTTTGATATTGGTTGAAAGTTGTTTTGAGTTCCATATGTTCTTCAATTGTAGGAATGCGACCCTTGCTTTGCCGATCCTCGCATTTACGTCTGCATCGGATCCTCCTTGTTCATCGATGATGCTTCCCAGGTATGTAAAGGACTTTACATCTTCCAGAGCTTCGCCATCAAGTGTGATTGGATTGCTGTTCTCCGCTTTGAATTTGAGGACCTTAGTTTTCCCTTTGTGTATGCTGAGGCCTTGGTCTACGTAGCCTAATTTCTCTGATGATTCATTTCCGCTATTTCGTAGATATGAATTATAAAGTCGAGAAACCCCTATATATATATTTCTGATGGAAATTTATTGAGTGTGTCATTAATTTAAGTGCCTTGAGATATTTTCGTCGTGTTTACTCCCACTCCAGAAAGCATAAATGTTTAGATAGACGATTATTAGATGTATTTAACGTGTCTCAATCACCTCTCTCGACTCTATTTCACATCACCCATCAAGCTGCTGTTTTACGTGGCATTTCTTCTTCTTCTTACTGTTATCGTGAATTAAATATTATATAAGTGCCTTTGTTAAATCTTTCTGTAGATTTCGAAATAATTTGTAAATCTGTGTATACTCAATTATGGGGAATACTCCGACTCACTATAAAAGACGCTTTTCTGGAGACGTTTGTGGCAGACTCCCTAACTCAACACCACCTGGTGTCAGTGTTACTATCCCTCCACCGAAAAAACGAAATACTCATAGTTTGACAGTAAGTAACTTTTCATTGCCCTTTCAATAGGTTGATAACTTGTTTATATTGTGTAAATATTCGTTAGCAATTAGGTTGGTGAGCAAGCTTGAATGATTTTATGTTCTATAGTGAAACAAAATGCTTAGATTATTTATGAGTGGCTTATGATATATAGTCATGTTCATTGTTTACTTTGATGTAAACTTCTGAGCGAAACAAGTATAGAATTAGATTAAATACTTACCAACCATGATACGTAGTTGTGTCGCATTATAAAAGAAATGGTGCTAGCAATGTTAACCATCAAGTCGTTACCAAACAACTAATGTATAGTTAAAAATAAAGATATGAGACTTATCAGTTCATTCTTATATGGCTAATCGAATTTGTATGCTACTAAAGAGCCTCGGACTAAATCTTTGCATGGGATGTTTTTAGTTTCTTTTGGTGATTCTCTTTCATGATACCATCAGTCTTTTTAGATCCAGCCACTCGTGGACAATTTAGGACCTGGCCTAAATGCATATATATCATATTTGGAAAACCTCATTTCGGAGAAGTGAGAAAACCGAAAAAAATACAAAGAGAAGCAAAAAAGAGCAAGTAATATGAACCACCGGTTAAATGAGTTATTGTTTATGGGTTAGGAATAAATCTTACTTTTTTATTGTTTTCTTTTGTTTACCTCTACAAGCATTGTTGCACACTTCAGTTTTAGTTCTAGCTAGTCAACTTTCATGAGTGACTTTAATTGTCCGTCCGCACCCCCCCTCCAATCCGTGATTTACGGATGTACGTTTCGTATTGTTTATCATTAACAAGACCAAAGAATTCACCTTTTAATTCCAGTTAATCAGTAATCACTATTCAGTTGTTTGGTTGTTCATTTCTTTAAAGTGACCTGAACAACTTCACTAAAAATAGATTTTTGATGTGACATTTTCTTACAGTCGATTGGATAATCTCTTATATATGTACGTGTATATACATCATGAGTAACCAGTACTTTTATTTTAAAATTTGACCTAATTCAGTTTTACAAAAAAGAGTTGAAATCGATCAAATATATCTGGCTATTTTGTGGTGTCTAATTTAAACTATACACGATAGTATTATTATCATTACCTAATTTCTCTCTTAGGATTTATCACGTTCTGCTCCAGCCGATTATCCTAATAATGAAATGTCAGTAAATGACGACAATGTTAGTCCTAATGACAAAGATGCAATCTCAATTGATGAAGCTACGTCAATGATGCGAGCTACCAGTCTACGTGAACCTATCAATATAATCGATGCTCATGATAATCTTGATGATAATAATCGGTTATACAATGTGCTACCATCTGACAAAATGGTAACGTCAACAATTTCTAGTGGTGATGAGAAAATTTCCAATTTTCTTCAAGAAAGACCATCTAGTGCAGGTCCATTATATTCAACAGATGAACAAATAATGTATAAGCATAGTCAACCACAAATCATTTTAAATAATGTTTCAAGAGATCGTGCAAGAACTTTGCCATCCAGAAAGTTGGTTGGCTTAAAACTTCCTACTGTTTTTCGATGGAATGGTGGTGGTAAAGATATATATATTAGTGGAACTTTTAATAATTGGGAGAAAAGAATCCCTATGGTTAAAAGGTAATTTATTTTGTGAAATAAATATCTCTTTTTAGTACATTTTGTTCTTGTATTATAATAAAAAGGAATGTTATTTTACACCTGTTTTATATCATAATCAAATTTAAGTTCATTTATAATTGTCCTGATTATCCCGTTGTTGATAACTTGACTGGAATTTGGTCAGTTTTAGTTGGTATATGTAAATCCTATGAGAATTGTCTCGATATAGCCAATCGTGACACAAGTTTGTATAGAATAGATAGAATGTGGCTAGCAGTACAATCCTGGAAGCGCGTTTCATTCTATTTGGAGCTCCTCAGCCACATGCATCTGTATTCTATAATTGTTGTTCACTCTAAGACTTGAATCTATTACCTTTAGTTTCAAAAGCTAAACCATTATCCAATTGGCTAATGAGTCCGGTAGCCACTCACTTATGCAACGGGTTTGGATTTTAATCTAATTTGTAATCCTTTGGACTATCGCATTGTTTATATTTTGACTGGAATCTTAGTTGGTATATATTCAGGTACACCCAAATAGGACTAAATGCGCGTCCTCGATTTCATTACTAACCACATTCCATATATTTTATGCAATCAAATATGTTTGAATCCAGCCATTATGCGATTAAATGACAAATGATCAGTAAATTTTATCAGGTCAGATTATTAGGACACTGGATAATCATTCTGTTAGTTTATGATAGCAAATTTCATCAATGTATCAGAAGAAGAGACTGTTCCCAAAAATATTTGTTCGAATTATATGAATCTAACCAATCAATGAAGACCGATCGATACCGTTAAGCCTTAATCGGACAATAGAAAATTTAGTTTCACATCATATAATTAGTTGAATTCGACAAATTTGAAATGTCAGATGGGTTTTGTGGATATTATAGTCATTTGGATGGTTAAGATCATGAGTCAGTTGAAGCTAGACCACCATGGAAAACCTGGAAGCACTGGACGGCCGTTTCGTCCCATTGTGGGACTCCTCAGCAGTGATGCTTGGTAATTTGATTCTTTCCTATTGGAATTCTGATGTTTGCAATACCAGATTAATTAAAGTATCTCCTAGTGTTTAAATAATTTTTCTAGCCTAGTTAACTAAACAATAATTTCAATATGTTGTTATTTTTTGTTACGATACATTGAAATCATCTATCCCTTTAGTGAATATAAGATCTCAAAATGATAATAATGATAATGATGGTAGTAGCGGTAGTAGCAAATTTTCCAATAACTATAAATCATAATATTATAGAGGTTATAATGGTGTCAAGGTTATGAAATGTAAGTATTATGTGTTAAATGATGCTCATATATATTCTATTCTGAATAAATGAGTTTTGATTCATTATTATTTTATTATGAATATAAAGCAATCGGTTATGTGTAACAAATTGAATGGTAAAGTAGTCGAAATAATGTAATAACAATGGTAATAAGAAGGAATAAATATTGAGAATATGATTGGGAAAGGCGGAATGAAAAGGTATGCATGCTGGGTTACTGGTACACGAGATCTAAAAGAAAATAAAGAGTGAATGCCTCTGTCCCATTATAACTGATTCTGATTCATATTAACTAATATCTTCAATCACTGATGAAAGTCATCGCGTGAATACCAACCAACATTAGCTCAAATCGATAATCATTGACTTCATGAACTGATACCATGTTTTGATTTGGTCACTTCTACATTTTTGTTAACTTACTTCTATACCTGTCAACATAAGATTGATAAATATGTCGGCAGAAATTCTTGATTGAAACATAAATATTTTTTTAAAACGAAGTATATAGTCTGCGTTTTATTTACCCTTAACATTGTTTACCGCATAATCGCTATTCAACTTACATTAATCAATTCATCCATATTATAAGTAGTCAGTTTGTTGACATTGACTTTTTAAGTATACTAATCAGTTGTTTCTTCTAAAAAAACTATTAATAAGTATCATAGACATTGAAAAGTGATATTAATGGGATTGTTTTTTTTGAAAAGAAGTATTATAATCCATTATTAATTCAAGTACACTAATCTTAACATTTTAACAGTTTAAATACTTATGTTATGCTTTGTAACCGTTCATAATTATAAAATCCTTTGTGTTATGATAAGCTATATATGTATAATTACGTGGGTAAAAGTCAGTTTTTCATATTCATTATTGTGCCACCAAATGCCCTGGTACGGCCGAGAGTGAGGAGAGTTCGCTCTCCCTCTCCAAATGCTCTCACATGGCCACGCGTATATAGCCTCTGCCAGTGAAGTCCTACTCACTGCCTTCTCGCGGCATTACTGTTGTTTACGAAATTGAGAGGACGAAAAGCGAATGTCTGGCACTTCAATCAGGAAGGTGGACACGGAGAGTCCACCTAGGGGAGTTTGAAAACCCTGATTCAAAAGCATTGGTGCACATGGGCTCCAGTACCCTGAGGGAACAAATAGCATATGAACCAATTATTGGTCACCGACCACTATAGGACAGTATCTGCTGACATTGCTTCACTGTCTTGTGGGTCAGACCTTTAGGTCAAAGGCTCGGGGTGTGGCCCCTTAAGAAAACTATCTGTGCCGGTCTGGGCTCACTCACAATCCTGGTGTTATGTGTGACTTATATGTATTCGGTGCCTTCTTCTACTAATATTTGTGTTCAAATTAATAAATAATAAAATGATCCAAATTTACAAATATATAACCTTGGTTCTGAGTAAATAATTGATAAGGTCACAAAATTTGTGGTCGAGTTAGAATGGCATATTCGATGCCCGAAAATAGATTGACAATGACAAGAACTGGTACATTTTTCTTGATAATTACGCCTCTGTATTATGATGGTGTGACAACTTGAACTGATGTGTACATTCGACAGGTTTTTTGTTGCGTATGACTGACTATATATAACTAAATTTTCTTCTGTTATTTTGTCCCTTATTCTTATTGTGTTATTTTTCTTAGAAACTCAGGAGTTTACGTAATTATTGGTTGTAAACCTGGTATTCATCAATATAAGTATTTCATTGATGGGGCATGGTATCATGACCCAACTAAAGTGAGTGAGTGAATAGTAAGCGAAATATTTTGGTTTTTAATGCTTTTTTGTTGTATAATACATTCTTCGATGAAGTAAAATCACTGTATGAATTTCTGATATTCTTGACTTGAAAGTTCGAAATACGAATCTGTCATGCATTCAATTCAAGAGACTCACAGAATTATTGATTCCACTGATGACGAGCTCACAATTGTTTATAAATACTTGCTCTGTTTTGATGATGGTTGTAGTGGTTCTCGATATTGATATTGATTGTTAGTTGTTTTGAGTCACATATGTTCTTCAGTTGTAGGAATGTTGCCCTTGCTTTGCCAATTCTTGGCTTTATATTTGCATCGGGTCCTCCATGCTTATCACTGATACTGTCCAGGTACATGAAAGTCTCCACCTCTTCTAGAGCTTCTCCATCAAATGTGATTGGGTTGGCCATGCCGATTACTCCGATTGTTGGTGGAGTGATAGTTATAGGAAGGCCTGTGTGTAGCGCTTCAATGTCCATTGGGTTCAGTGAGGTTAGTTTATTCAAGAGTTCTTCAAAGCGTTCCACCCACCTGTTCCTCTATTCTTGAGTCTGAGTGATTGACTTACCTTCTTTGTCCATGACAGGTCATTCTGGTTTCCCTGTCATTTTCTTCGTTGTGTCATATAGTTGTTACATATTTTCTTATGCAGCAGCTTTTTCCACTGTTGTTGCTAGGTTTTCGATGTATTTCTGCTTATCGTCTCTAGTGCTCCTCTCCACTTACTTGTTTGCTTCTGTGTATTTGATCTGTGTCTTGATTTTCTGTTGTCTTGTTTGGCTGTTATAAATTGCTGTTTTTTGTACTTCCTTACTTGAATTATGTCAATGATTTTGATAGAGATCTATTTCTTACGATGATGCTTCTTGCGGTTCAAAACTTGCTGACATGTTGACGTTAGTGCATCTTTGGTTTCTTTACAGTTGTCCTGCATAGTGGTTTCTTCTTCTTTGAGTAGATCTTGTAAAACTTGGAACCTGTTGTTGAGTTTATCAGTATGTCGAAGGAAGGCTGTATTGAACCTATTTAATACTGATTATTCAGTTGTTCAGTGCTCTTTCAGCTTTAGGTTCATTTTGGTAACGACCGGATGGTGACCTGAGGCCATGTCAACTCCTCTCCTGGTTCTCATCTCTTCCATGAATCTTCTGAATATTTTAGTGATGCAAATATGATCAGTTTGGTTCTCTGTAGAGTGATCAGGAGAGACTCATGCAGCTGTGTGTATGTGTCTGGGGAGAAATACAAGGTCACCTATAACCATTTTGTTGAATGCACACACAAGTTTGCGAACTTCTCGTCATCCTTGTTGTTTTCTCCCAGTTGGTGCATGTAGTCCCATGATATCTTCATGTTCGATGTTCTTTATTCCGACTTGGATGTTCAGGTGTCCCATGAGGATGATCATGTCCTTATAAGTATAAAGAAAGTGACTAGATTCCGCAGCTTCGTCAACATCTAACATACACATTGAATTAATCGAATCCTCTATATTGACTCTTGCCTTCTTGCTTTTGTTGGACGCAATCTTAGTCGAAGGTGTTTCGTCGACGATCTGCCTCAAATAAAGTTGGAAAGCACCAACCTTGGCCTCGTCTACGAAGATTAGTCAGTATATACCTTGAGGATGACACAGGTATTTAGTGTTTGACAACGCTTTTACCGGTAACACCTTCTAGTATAACTCGTACCCACCAAGAGAAATCAAAAGACAGAATCAAGCAGATCAGAAGTTGTATTTGACGATTGCCAATATATCGGAACTGTTTGATCTAGTCTGGCTAGCGATTGCAGTAGATGTTGAGCACGACGTTCCCACACGTGATCTGGTGCGGATGCATGGCCGAGCGCCTTCAGTTAGGTGAGTCCACTAAAACTAATCTGGTCAGCATCCAATGTCGAAAACTCACAGAGCTATTTATTTTGTGGATTTATTTACCGCCACAGATCCCTCCCCCTTAGTGGGTTAGTGACGACCCTAAAACGTGGCCAGCCAGAAGTTTAAACCCAACGGGTTTTGTCGTTGGTAAACACTCTTCTGATAGCTCGCTAGGTTTAACAGCGTCTGGTAGTCTTTCCTTACTATGTGGGACCATAAAGTACAGTATAGTATAAAAAGAAGTAGAATGAAAATTTCGGCTCCTCGTAAACTTCATCGATACTTTCCAGCCGTCCTGGAAAAGAAAGAAGAAAATGTAAGTGCATGTCGAAATACCTTCGTACGCGCGTAAAAATACAATAGTGGCGAAAAAAATGGAGAATAAACTCATATACACGTAATATCGTCTACAAAGGATTTTTATGTATTTTTGTTTTGTTTTTTTTGAAATGAAAATAAAAATATATAAGCATATTATAATTTTTTTTCAAAAAAATAATACATATGGTAAAAAGAAAAATCGAGATAATATAAAATGTCAAGTAGTGCCTTACGTGCAATAATCGTTTGAATGTTCTGGAATACTTACTCTTCTACCGGAACGCGTCGTCTTAAGTTTATTTTCTGGTACTATTGAAGTATCATCGTGTGTGTTGCCTGTCGGTTGAGGTATTATAAGCGTAGGAGTCGTGTTGTGCGATTGAACCGAAGGGGAACCGACGTGAATAGGATTTCCATCTAAATACGCTGCGTTTAAGCGATCGATGCTGATGCAATCGTTTGTTCCGTCCTTATCGATTATATAGTACTTAGATTCACGTTGAAGAACTTTGAAAGGTCCCTCGCATACTGATTCGAGAAGTCATCGATGCGAGTCTCGACGAACGAAAACGTGTGTACTATATCGTAAGTCAGGTTGAAAGCGACAGTTGACTGCGGTCGAGTGGAACGCATTGCGTTTGTAAGCCTGCTCATGTAGGAGAAATCCTTATTCATTGAAGATAATGAAGGATCCACGAATTCTCCTGGGAGTCGAAGTGTCGTTCCATAAACCAGTTGAGCTGCAGTGTATCCAATGTCAGCTTTCACTGCATTGCGAATACCTAGTAAGACGAGTGGAAGAGCGCCGATCCACTGTGAAACGTTTGCAGCTGATGGCGAAGCTTTTAGTTGTTGGTAAAAACGTTCTACCAACCCGTTTGCTTGTGGGTGGTAGGCGGTCGTTCGGGAGCGAGTGATTCCTAAAGGGTTGGTCAGACGACGGAATAGTTCAGATTCGAACTGACGTCCGCGGTCTGTAGTGATAGTTGAAGGGCAGCCGAAGTTTGCTACCCATCGCTTGACGAAGGCGCGGGTCACAGTGATGTCCTTGATAGGTACTGCTTCTGGCCGTCGAGTGAAACAGTCTACGCAGGTTAAGAGATAAGAGTATCCATTTGAATCTGGTAAAGGTCCTACCAAATCCAGATGAACATGGTCGAAACGAGCATCGGGAGTTTTAAATGAGCCTAAGGGACATTTATTGTGTCTGATAACCTTAGATTTTCGGCAGCTCACACAGGAGCGTGCCCACTTCCTCACGTCTCTATTCATGCCAGGCCAGCAAAACCGTTCTGCTATAAGCTTGATGGTTGCACGAACACCTGGATGAGAAAATTTGTGCAACGTATTGAAGACGTTGCGTCGATAATGTTTCGGCACGATTTATCGAGCCCTACCTGTAGATGTGTCACACAGTAAGGTTTCTTTACCTGTTCCCATCTGTTTGATGCGTAACTTGAGGGTTGTAGATGATAACTCGTGCTGAAGATCAGTGTCTTCTTTTTGAAGCTGGGCGAGTTTAAGAAGGTCGATTCCTTGGAAACTGTTCAAGGAAGTTATGCGAGACAAGTCGTCTGCGACTACATTGTTTGCTCCAGAAATGTGTTGGATGTCTGAAGTAAACTGTGAAATGTAGTCTAGTTGTCGAGACTCATGAGGTGAGTACTTGTCAGAGGACGAGCTTCAGGAGAAGGTAAGCGGTTTATGGTCAGTGAAAAGGGTGAATTGACGGCCTTCGATATAGTGTTGAAAATGCCGTACAGCACAATACATAGCTAGGAGTTCCCTACCGAATGTGCTGTACCTCGATTCGATGTCTAGCAACCGTCTAGAGGAAAATGCCAAAGGTTGCCAGGAGTTGTTAACCCATTGTTGTAAGACTCCTCCGATTGCTGAGTCGGATGCGTCTACTGCGATACTAATGGGTGCTTTGGTGTCCTGATGAGCAAGCATTGTTGCTTTAGCAGTAAGTTCCTTAACTGTGGAGAATGCTTTTAGCGCGGTATCGTCTAAATTGATGGATTTCGCATTTCTACGAAGTTAGTCGGTTAGAGGTGTCATAAGTAATGCGCATTTCGGTATGAATCGTCTATAGAAACTTACAAGGCCGTTAAACGTGTGTAATTGCTTAATAGTTGTCGGTTCTGGATAATCCAGAATAGCCTTCACTTTGGTTCTAAGAAGTCGGATGCCTTGCGCATCAACAGTGTGTCCGGATGAATATAGGGAGTCAGTCCCGATTTGATATTTCTCAACGTTAACAGAAACGCCATGCTTTTGTGGTCGTTCGAAAACAAGATCCAGATGCTGGAGATGAGATCCTCCGTCCAGCATCGCAATCAAGCTGTCATCAACATACGCATGTACGAAGTTGAGACCTCGATAAACGTCATCTATGAGCCTTTGGAAAGTTTGGGCAGCTTTTCTTAGGCCGAAGAGCGTGAGAAAAAATTCGTAAAGACCGAAAGGAGCAATGATAGTGGTTTTGGAATGTCGTCAGTGGCCATGGGAATTTAGTTATAGGCTATAACCAAGTCGGTTTTCGAAAAGACAGTTGTACCTTCCAAGGTAGCTGTCAAATCGTGAATGTGGGGCAACGGATAACGATCGGGAATGGTTTTCGCATTCAATCGCCGATAGTCACCAGTTGGACGCCAATCGTTGCTGTCCTTTTTAGGGACCACGTGCAACGGAGATGCATGTGAGCTATTTGACGGTCGTATGATTCCTAAGTTTATCATGTGGTCGAATTCGTTTTTCGCCAGCCTTAGCTCTTCGGGAGCCAGTCGGGGTGCTTTCGAGAATACAGGCGGTCCTGTAGTCGTGATGTGATGTGTAACGTTGTTGGTTACACACGGTTGTGTTTGTTGAATCACAGAATACTTATCAAGTAGTGGTTGATAAAGTGGGTCTATCGTGTGCTTAATTGTGACTGGAGATAATCTGCAATCAGAAAAAGGAGTTACGCAAACAGATAAATTAGTGCTTCAGTCTATTAGCCTCCGTTTGAGCGTATCGATGAGTAGCTTTCGGTGTTGTAGCAGGTCTATACCAATGATTGGCATAGAAACATCTGCAACAACGAAAATCCAGTGTATCGGTTTGCGTAAACCCACGTCAATGTAAACGTACCTTTTACCATATGTTGTGATTGGCTTTCCGTTTGCCGCTTGTAAGTCTAGAACCGATTCGTGAGGACGATCGCGAGAATTTGCTGGAAGAATGCCAACTTCTGCGCTAGTGTCGACGAGGTAGCGAACTTTCGTTATTACATCTGTGACGTATAACAGACGGCTGTTTTCGTCGGCTACGTTTGCCATTAACACGTGCCGGCTTGGAAGTTTCCCGAGTTGTTTTTCGTGTCAGTGGGTTTTGAGTTGGGAAAATTTCAGGATTTTCTGCAATTTCTGGGAGACTTTCCATACTGGTTGTGATACCAACACCATTCGGGGTTAACCGTCTCTCATGGTCTAGAAGTTCATGAGTTGGAACGAGGGTGGGGACATAGTCTTAATCTTAAATACCTTGGGGGTCTGTTCAGCCATAGGGGAAAATTAAGTACGAGAATACACGAGTGAAAAATATATAGATATCCAAAAACGCGGTAAAAAATATCACAATGTATAGAAAAATTAAAATAAAGCAATGGTATATAGAATCCCAAAATGGAACAGACTCACAGTTTACGATTTGGTGTACTAGATCACGTTAGGCTCACCAATGAAGATGACACAGGTATTCAGTGTTTGACAACGCTTTTACCGGTAACACCTTCTAGTATAACTCGTACCCACCAAGAGAAATCAAAAGACAGAATCAAGCAGATCAGAAGTTGTATTTGACGATTGCCAATATATCGGAACTGTTTGATCTAGTCTGGCTAGCGATTGCAGTAGATGTTGAGCACGACGTTCCCACACGTGATCTGGTGCGGATGCATGGCCGAGCGCCTTCAGTTAGGTGAGTCCACTAAAACTAATCTGGTCAGCATCCAATGTCGAAAACTCACAGAGCTATTTATTTTGTGGATTTATCTACCGCTACAATCCGAATGATTTCAGAATAATAATTTTGAGTTTGAATATTTCTTCGCATCCCACCATTCTTGACATCCGGTTTATGGATTTCGGATAGTTAGTTTAGAATGATTCTGAACGATTTATCCGTAATAATTACAAATACATTCCTTAGTCCAGAAGATAACTTGCTCTCATTTATCAATCTAAACAACTGCCAAATCGGACACCATCAAAACACATATAAATATAGCTAAATGTCTGAAACTGTTTGTTCGGACCAAGTTGCAACTCCAAAGAAATGGGTTCGTATGCCTACTTGTCATAAAATGTTGAGTGTAGGTGATACGAAAATTTATGGATGGCTTTTGAGCGGCACCGTGATGACCTTTGGAATATCCACCTACCTACTAGTGCTAAATGAGGGTTATAAAGCATTTTGAAAAATAAGGATTATGATTTACAATTAATGGTTGAGTATCGGAATCAGATTTATGGTTTTCCTCACGAACTGACATCAGCTATTGTGCCTAAACGCTATTCGGACAAATGGGTGTTTGAATTGTACCTAGATTTAAGATCTGTTACTCTAAATCTGATTGGTTGGTTCATAAATTATAGTCTCACATGAATGTATAATGTAATATGTATATTGTAGCTCTCATAACGTTTATTATGTATACCAGTTATCCACTTTCTAGCTGCCGGAATGACGTTTAACACATACTTATAATCAATAGAAATGGGCCTCGAATTTTTCCCAGGCGAATTTTGAATATTGAGTAACCGAGGGTTATTCAGTTTGTTAGTGGCGTGGTCGAAATGGAAGCGGGTCTACTTATAGGCGCACAGACAGTTACATTTCCTGACTATCCGGATATTGAGAAAGCTTATGTATCTCATCTGTCGTCATCTACTCAGTCGAAAGCTCCGGAAACACTGGTATTCTGTAATTTTCTCGCTAACATTTCTAGAAAACGGGGTCTTTGGCACAAGAAATTCAAAAAGCTAGAGAGCATATCAAAACATCCTTGGATCGCGTAAGTGTATCAACCAAACTGCCAGATTAAAAGCCTTAAAAATTTCTGTCTGGTTACCTAATCTCCGTATTTCGGGATTTTCTACAAAGTTGTAAGAAATATCGTAGTTTTGTCCAAACTTTGGGGGGACTTTTGTGAAAACTCCGAATTGTTATAAGATTCTGTAGAAATGTTCGGGAGATCCAAAAATTTCTTCAAAATGTTGGGGATTTTTTCCCCAGACCTGTGGAAATTTTGATGTTTTTGTGCCATTTCACGAATGTTTTCTATTCCAGTTTCTACAAAATTTTACTAATGTTTCCCCAAAACAAGGAGAATGGGTTGGTTACGTTATCAGACAGTTTTTTAATGTGAATAAATTGATCAAAATGTGATGTTTGGTATGGAAGTAGTCACGATTATTGATTTCAGAACCTAAGGTATATTTTGTGCACTTGGTTTGGTGATCTATAGGCTAATAACGTATTTATAAAAAACTAGGACAGTCTGCTTACACCTCTGATCTACTTTATAGTGTGTATAAACATCCGGTTCGATTACCAGAGGTTGGTGGTTGGCTAGCAGTAATACTCAGCACGAGCGTTTCGTTCTATTTGTGGCGCACATATACATAAAGGGAATGGTGGATTGCAGGCCAAAACATCGATATGAGGATTCAATTGACCAATTCATCCGGGTTTATGCTTGTACTAGTCGTTTTACAGACGGGAATTTTTTGGAACTCGGAAACTAATTTTGGTGAACCATTTACTACTTTCTAGCCATTTATAGGTTTAGCCTATCAGTCATTCCTAAATATAAAAGTTTAGTCCATGAAATGGAAATTGGGCCGTTGTAACGCAGTATCTACTTACCATACCATTATTCACATGATGAAATTATGAACAATATATATCTTTTGCATGGCATGACTGGTTTCTGAATCATCGTTTTTTGCTACGTGTACCCACAGCGACTATAGTGATGACCGAGTAGGGTTTTCCTGGGAGACTTTAATTTACGGACGACCTTTGGGTTTTGCTAAATTGACCTCGAGAATGTCTACCCCAACTAAGACTAAATGAGGGTTATAAGGTAGTGTCAGGAATTAGAGTTATGACTTACAGTTGGTCAGGGTTATAATCTAGATTTATGGTTTCCGTCACGAACTGACAGCCAAGATGCTAAAACTATTTAACCAAATGGATGGATAAATTTCGCGTCAAAATCCAAAATTTGTTGTCTAATACCTGGTTGCTTTGTACATAAAATATACTCTCGCTGGTTCCCAACATAATTATCACTTATTCTAAAATAAACGTTTATTTCATCCCAAAATTCCTTCAAGCACCTGGATACATTACTTTAAATAAATAATCTGGCTTTCTAGAAGATTTCTCCCCAATTTTTTGAGTATCTTAAACAGACCAGGGTTGACTTAATTCTGTATGTGGTCCAGTCTTTATTAGAAGAAACAGATTGCGTAGCAGAAGAAATTCCTGTTGAAGTATTTCATCCCATATCATTAAGGGTATTCATATCTTATATGGTTAATTGGTCATTTTAACAAGAAAAACAAGGATATTTGCTTGCTGATAGTCAAAGAGGATCATAAATTAGTGCGAAGAATTAGAGTTAGGGTTTTCATTACAAACTGGCACCAACTATGATACTAGAACGTCATTTAATCGTATGAATTTGTGAATTTCGCGCCGTAGTCCAAGACGTGCTATATGTAGTCTCGTTGGTTCGTCCAAAAATTAGTCTCCATTGTTTAAAAATGGTGTGTTGTAATTGACTCGGTTCATTTAACCGACTAATACTCATGAATCACCAATAAATTATTTGTGTTCGTTGTTGATAAAGTTTTTTGTAAATACCCATAGGTCCCTGTGGAGTAGCTTTTCGATATCACATCAAAATATGTTAGACAGAAAAACTAGTAGGGGTGATGATATCAATTCTAGTTCAAATTGAAGTAATCAAAGGTTAACAAACTTAAGAAAAAAGTTTTATCACACTGCTCACATATGTGTTGGTTCAAAGGTTTACAGCTTTTTTGAAGCGTATTGACACTGTTAACATCGTAGTTTAATAAAGTTTGTTGATCCACAATATTGCATTCAATTGTTCCAAGACATTCATTTCCAGACGCACTACCATCCATTACCGTAGTCGAACCCCGTGTTTTCTGTAGTGCACGTGAGTCAGGGATGTTTCGTGATATTATTTTGTCATTTCGAGAAGCGCTTTTTAAATCGAGATTCTGTTTTTGTTTTCTACTTCCTTAGGTTGCTGTATCCCGACCTTTCGACGTTGGACGTCTTGATGAACTTGAAAAACGTAAGTCGTTCCCTCCAGTAATGATATTTTTATACTGACTTTAATAAACGAAGACTTTATGTTAAATGGGTGACTGATTTAATTTATTTGGATGTTCAGCTGTATAGCGACTTGAAAAATGCGTATTTCAGAATTGTGTTTTTAGTATGATAATAAGTTGTATAGTAAATAAAATCCATACTATTGATTTTGTTAAATTCTCTATCACTCGGTGGTAATTGATAGAATAGGTTTTTTTATTGTGACTTATTTGTTCATTAACTTACACTTTGTTCTTTTGACTTCAGTCTCTATCTTGTCTTGTTCTACATAAATCGCTTTTGTCCTACTAATATTCATCTCTACTTACGAACTCTGCTTGACTATTTAGATAAGCTTTCATACAGGTTTATCATTTTGTCATCACTTCTCGTTAGGTGGCGTCATTGTATACTGATGTTTTCTTTCATAGTATAAATTCTCAGTTACTACTGATTTAATCTTTGTTTACTTCAACCAAAAACCTCAATTATACTTCTGCGGCTTTAAGAATTCCAGTGACTTGGCAGATTCATTTGACCTAATTCTTTGATCAATCTGTTTTTCTTAATTTACGCTAGAGCTAGGCTTTATTGTGCGCCTAGCAAACAGTGCCTTGTAGTGTTTAGCACATAACTAAATCACTCATAATAACCTCAGTTCAGAGGAAATGACTGTTCCATTATAAACTATTCTATTTCTGAACATCCTAAGACTCCAATGAATGGCTGGAAGCCAGTGATAGGATCTTAATTAAGTGAAAAAAAACAATAGATCTTTGAAATTTTACTTCTGGGAACATAATGACGATCATTTTAAGAAATTAAAATATGAAATCGGTTAAATTTAACAAGTAACAACTTTGAACATTGATACACGAACTTTGGATCCCATAATAAAAGATCAATATTAGACAAACAATCACCATCACCTACATGTAGAAATATGGTTTAAAAAATGACTGTTTCTTTTGAAGCCCACGTTCAGGCTTCGATATGCTTTGGTGGATGCAAATGAGTCCGCGTCCTCCTTGGACGCAGTGATATTACCACAGAGGGTTAGCGCACTCTTCATTTCTAAAGAATTAGTGGTGTCACTTGTTAACCTATTCGTCATTATTTCGTTTCTCGTTATCACAACCGTCGAGGTTTTTCTGTTTCATTTTTAAAATGTTGTGTTTAATTTTAATGATAATAACAATCACACTTTTCATATAGTTGTTACAAGTCTTGTTAGTCGCATATCAGATCTGGAGTCACGCATAAGCACTATGAAGTTGAGTAATGATCCTCATGATGTAGTTGAAGAAAAATCAGATTCAGAGCCTGATCTATTTGGTTCAGACAGCGAGGTATGTAACTAAAGTTTTCCAAACTCCTTCAGGAGGATAAAGAAGCTGAGCGTATCAGGAGTGAGAGAGAAGCCGAATACCTTGCAAAAAAAGCTCTAAGTAAGTTTTGATTTTAAAATCCGCCCATTTAGACACATAAAGCTGGCTAAGTTTTTTTCATTCACACTGCTTCAGTAGTTAAGATGTTAAACTTATTACCATTTAGTCTGTACTTAGCTCCTACTTTACTTTAAATGTGACTCGAAGTTAGGTATACGAAACGTATTTGGTATATAAGTCAATTGAAAGTTAAGAAGTATTGACACATTACTTATGATTATTCATGCGACCATTCATACGCTTACCCTATTAGCTGTACAAATTCATTAAGTTATGTCGGTTTCTACAATAGGCGATTGTAGTGTTGTTTTAACACAATTAAGATAAAATGAGGGTATTTATGCTTCTTTGATCAATAGATACTATAGCAGTAATGCAAAATAATATGGTTTATGTTCTGTATTTAAACTATTTTAAAGACCTATTCCGATGTGGTCCCAAAGTAGTCGTTCGTCATTTTAAGCTCCTTCATATTATGCCGATGTATTTACATAAAGTGATCTGTATTTGTATGAAGTCTTACACTGGCTTATCTGTACTAATCTCGACAGAGAATTGGTGATAGTTCGCGCGTTTTCCATTGTATTCACTGATTACATTTTATGATTGCATTTCAAAAGACCCTAAGCTATTCAAGTTAACATCGATTGAATGAGTTAGTGCTATCGTTTAATCAAATAACTATGGATCTAATAAAGCTGGTACAACTTCATTTAGGTAGGTAAAAACGTCCTCAAGACGTGGTCTAGTCATGCTGGTAAACTTTACGTTTCACTAAATAGTCTAAGCTGTTTGAGTAGCACTTCCTAGTTGATTATAACAAAACTTGTCCCATAATATGTGTAAAGCTTAAGAACATTGCAAGGCAATTATCTGCGAATTGTAGATTATTCAATTCCAACCCAAAATTTTTACATGATAGCTATTAAACTTTCGTGATAAGACTCAGAATTTACATATATTCCATGATGGCATAATACCAGCGTGATAGTATTGGATCTAAAACACTTGTATGGTTTATTGTATTTGTTACTAATTAATGTTTGCATCAGTGTTCGTTGTGAATTTATTCATCAGAGTAGAGAAAACTGTAAGTTTGATTTTCCTCTCGTGAAGAAGGTTGTGTGAAATTCTGATTGGATTCAATTGATTACGACGCGTAATTACACTGCTACTAATATGAACTGATAATAAAGAAACTTTCCGAGACCTGTAAAATGACATCAATCATTAATCAACTTGTATTTATTTATATTTTTCTTCACTTGCATGGAGTTTGTTAATTACTATCTATTAAGTGTTTGTATATACACCAACTTATTTTATTTAGAGCCTGTTGTGGCGGCAAAGTCAAGTATCACCCTTGATGTGAAACCATGGGATGATGAGGTAGATATGGAAGAACTTACCTCTTTGGTGAAAGGTATTAAAGTAGATGGCCTTTTATGGGGTGCATCCAAATTAGTGCCCATCGCTTTTGGCATAAAGAAGCTCCAAATCTGTTGTGTCGTTGAAGATGACAAGGTTAGTTTATACTACGAATTACTGAGACTATTATGTGTAGGCAATCTTTTCCATTACTATTTTATCCAACACTAAAATCACTTTTTTTACAAGTAAGCGTTTTCACTACTTGTTGATTTGACATCTAAGCCCAGTTTGATCACAAAGTTAAATAACATTAGGTGGTAAAGCTAATCAAATCTAATATCTATGTAATAAATTCCTACTTCTGTTTGCTTTCAGGTTGGAACTGACTTCCTTGAAGAATCTATAAAGGAATTTTCGAAACATGTCCAATCTGTAGATATTGTATCATTCAACAAGTTGTAATGAAAAACAGGAATTGTAACATATGATGGACCGAATCAGTAAACGTCCGTCTTTCAATGTCCTTGTTCTAAAATTGGGATAATTTGCTATTAATCTTATTCTTAATGTGTTGCACAGCGCCTTGCCTCCACAACGCATACTGAAAAACTGTTGTATGCAGTCGAGAAACGATTAACGCAAAAGAAACTAAGCGTCTCTCCTCACAGTATGTATAATAGCGCAATAATTAGGCAGGTTACGTTTTTTAAACGTAGCGACCAGTGTAGCTTTTTGAACGGATGTTTATTTCGTCAGCGCGAGTGGACCTGAACTGAGTTCTTTTTTTGCAAATGTTTAGCCTAATGTACAATACAATACTTACCAGCCTAGTTATTTTTAATAAGCACTACATTAACTGATTACGATCCGCTTCAAAGAAATATCTGTACTTTTATATGAAGATAAGATAGTGATTTTAGGTAAATTTTCCCTGATGTATCTCTCCGAGGAAAATTATCTGTCAATTTCCAGTCGATTTAAAATACCCTGTAATACTGCTTAAACTTAATAAGGTTTGATAATATATGTAAAGTACAATGTTGAGTAATTATTGATCAAAATGCTCTAAAATTAAATGACAGTGGATTGTTGTAGGATACTAGTAGAATCAGTGAATGAAAAAAAACAATCTATGGATATATTACATCTTCAATGTTCAGTTTACCTAATTAATTGATCATATTCTATATAGGTGTTATCGATATTATTCTTGAATTCAATAGATGTTTTTAATTCCATGATTAATCAATTTGCTATATCGTTTAAGTATCCTAGTTAAGTATTTCGCCAGATTGTATGTCGGTGAATTTGTAAAATCAACCACTGTTCTTTGTGATGTCGTTCAGAAGAACGATAAAAGCTCCACGACCAAACCATCGAGCTCAGAGAACAAAACATCATTAAAATCTGTTACAGTACTATGCTGGCTCAGTTGATTCAACCTTCTATGACAATTTCAATAAGAACTATTTATAGCATAGTTAATAATAATCAAGTAAATAAAAGCAAACCAGTGCGTTTTCTATGCCAAAAGGTATAAATGACATTTTGTAAGATAATAAATATATTGTAAGTTTTCTTTTGAGCATGCAAAATCAAAACAAAAAAAGCAAATAGCAAAATAATCCAATTATCACGGTCGGCATCTCTGTAAGAGTTGTATACACATATAAGTAGCCGGTTTCTTCTGTTGTGTGTATATGTATCATACATGCCTGTATTCACAAATATTATTATGATGGCGGTTTAATTGGGGTCTCTAAATATATATAACTGAGCGAATAAACTGGAAAAAACAAAACGAATGTAGAATGCATGTATAATATACTAAGCAGTAGTTTAAAATAAGAATGAGCAAATTGGAAAGTAAAATTCATACATTACCAAAATAAGAAATGGATAGTAATGTGAAGCGATAAGTTGTCAACATGATTTGAAGACGCTAGCAGCACATTCTATTACTGAGACGGCTCTTTTTCGCAACGGATAGTCCATAGTAAATAACAAACCAGGTTTTAGTGAAAATCATCGATCTTATTCAAAGATAATTTCTAACTGCATTAATAGTCCGTTAGGTATGTAGTCCGATGAATTGTGCTAAGCACTGATCTACTGAGTCTATATATTAGAAAAAAAATTTGATGCATCACACTTGAAATCTATTCTGGTAAATTCTGTGGAATATTGCCGGAGGAATAAATAGGAAAATCTGGTTGAAAACAGTTGTGAAGTGGATTTGATGTTAACTTTATGTAACACAGAGTGTACATCATATGAAACGAATGAAGATTAAGAATAAAGGTTGGAAGCTGCTTACTAGGAACACTTAAAATTTAAGTTGTCGCCACAGTCTTGTTTGTTGAGCTAGTACAGATACATTGTAGAGCTGAATGCTTATTCTCCACATAAAGATCAGTTATTGCGATGATTGCTTATATCATATCCGCATAGCGCCAGATATTTCAAGTACTGCAATGATCGCCCTCTGATCCGTATGGAATTTTACTTATGGCCTCCTGTCTAACTCAACTCAAACTTACAATGATTCATTGGTACTGTCATTCAAAGTTTATCTTATGTATATCCATATACTGAATATCTACTGGTATCCAATGCAACAGCTGATGACCATCATCAACATGAAACATTTCTTCATTCTTTTGTTACTGGTCGTATGACTTGGGCTGTACGCTTGAATTATATTCCAAATGGCTTCGTTTTCTGAATTCTGAATTTCCGTACACTGCCAGTATAGTATGCAATTGCTTACAATTGATTGTTCACTATGTAATGACCGATGTCACGTTAGCCTGGTCTTTTAGTGCTGACCAAATTGCAATGTGGCCACTAATCTGAGTGACTCGGTAACGCATGCGCTATGTTGGGATATTAAGATAACTGACTAATCAATTTTAGATATCTCAGTGGTGATGTCACAGACTAGAACCTGGGAGTGCGGGTTGGGTTACCACGGGAAGCGTTAGTTTCCTCTAGAGTGTAGTTAATATCTTGCTGGTAAGTCCCAACTAGTAAGAAACCCAGATCCATGGTTCCCTCCCGACTATCCCCAACCAAATAACATACAACAACTTGAAATTTTGAACAGACTATCTAATACAAACTTACATCGTCAGCTCCAAAGACAGCTCGGCCATCTCGAGTGCGCTCTTGTGCTTTGAATGTTTCGAAAACAGTGGATAGTCGGATCAATAACAAAATGTAATCATCAAATAAAATTTGACCTTTTTCATTTGCATATCGACAAGCAATAGCCTTGAAAATCATATTACTGACATGAAAACCTAATACGGAAAAAAGATTTTCGTATACAATCATAACCGTATTATCGAAAAGAAATTTGTTAGTTTTGTGATACTTAAAATATAGGAATTAGAGGATTACTTGGTAAGTAGAAGAAATAGCTTGTATCAACTAAATTAATTGTCAACGTTTCATGCTGTAAATCCATATTTTCGTGAATTAACCGATTAATTTTTGTCACACTCCTGGACTATTTTGTTTCTGTACAATGCTTTAAACTTGTATACTTTTTTTTAGTAGCATGAACACGCGATTAATAGACAGAATGATAACTATCGTGTGTAACGGCATAATAGGAATTAAAATGCATTACTACTAGGTCCAAAGAGTACATAAGATCACTCACTCACTGGATGGTTATGAAATGTATTATTGTCTAATAGCAACAATAAGATGCCGGACTATATGGGACTACAAGGATTATGTTCGATGCATTCACGTTACAAATAAAAAGATGAGGTGATTGTATTATAAGTTTGAAACATAAGTAGGTAATAACTAACTAACTGATTGTAATGGTCGAAAATACGAATACAGTACTGTACACACGATCTGTATAGAATACCTAGAGTACACAATTGATCAATACAATGCCTCCCAAAAATCTGGACGAAACAGCTGGATAAATATAGCAACCAAGGATTAGAAATGCTTGGTAAAAGATCGATTAATCCTGGTAATTATTCGTCACTACTATTTTAAATCGCCTGTCCACGATTACCACTGCATAATTATGTACAGTTAGCTTTTTTGTTTCAATTATTGTTGTTAGGATGTGCAGAAAATATACCAATAATTATCATGTTAAGTCTAATGGTGGCCTTGGACTTTAAATGTACACTCCCTATTGGTCGATATTTATTTCACTTGTTAAATATTGTACAAATGTTGTTTTCTGTTTTATGGTACGATGTGGTCTGGTTGATTGGTATATACATAGAGTATGTCTGAGGTATAATGACTCATGTCTCAGAGGCTAAGACTTGTGTTCTGGACTCAACTGGCTGGGCTAGACAGGGAAGCGGGACCAATCGAGACTCTAGGCCGTCCGTACGTGTTTTTCGTGTCATTGAATCGATCGATAAATACGCTGCTCCATCTAATCAGCAGTCCACGCGTTACAACAATTGTATGGTTACGACTAGTACTTTGCAGCTAACATGTTTTAGACTAAACATAGAAAATAAGGTACACATACACATTAGTATCATTTCCTTAAGTCAGGAGTTATGATTTCATTGTACTTTGAAAATCCTGTGTTTTATATATCTTTGACTCTTAGTGTAAACTGACATACTTCGATGTTTTTTGATAGAATTTTCGACCTCATGATAAAGTGGAAGTTCCCAATTGTTCGGATTCTTCACTTCAGATGGTCTTAGAATCCAATCCTGATTTTTAGAGGTTTTCATTTTTAAGAATGGATTTCAGATTACATCGTCTTGTTGGAAACTGGGTATTTGAATCGGTTTGCTTTTCACAGAGTCAACAATATGTATCGTCCGATTACATTAATCCATAGATCATGTTAGGCTTTTAATCTTTGTCATGTATTGCTTTCTTCTGTTATCAATTATGTTTATGAGAAATTTGGTTTACGTGGTAGCAAATAGTATTTCCCCACCTGTGAAGAAGTGGCTTAACAGTTAAGACATTCGACTTCTAGACATTAAGTGACAGGTTCGAAGCCGGTTTAATCTACTTCGCTTTAAGCGACCGAGGATGCACACTTAATCTGACTCGAGGTCAAGTACACGAATATGTACCTGGCAAATGAGATAAAAGGACTTCTTTCACTCACCGATGGTCCTCATTACATTTCTTAATTCGAAAGCTTCTAAGCTACCAGTATGACCTTCATCGAATTTTTTGAAAATAGTCTGAAATAATGAATTGTTGGGTTTAGAGGAAATGCAAATAAAAAGTTAGAAATATTCATTATCAGTTTCATGCATAAATCTAATCTTAAGGAAGGAATATTTTAGGTTTGAGAAAAAGAGAGTCAGTACAAGTCTACTTCTAAATTAAAAATTCAAACAAGATTTGATGATTAGCTACCACTTGCATGACAGCGATGGAAATAGCAGTGTATAACAGTTGTTCAACGTATTCATTCGGATTGAATTGCTTAACTCTCTTGTGATTTTATGATAAATAACGATTACTTTCAACATTCAATGGTTAATTAATTCCAACAAATGTTTGGTATCATTAAAAACCAAGTCCGCTTTCTCTATTCGGATTCAAAATAAACATGTTTATCTTTATTATATTATGAATTCTAGTTTAGTCTTCGCGTCCAAACCACAATTAAAAGACTTCAGCATGTATAATGATCGATACTACCTAGATATCTGTATACAGTGGAAATTCAGTTATTGAGAGAGTAGTGTTGCATAATACTAGAGAGGACCAGATGTGTCTATCTACTCAAGGACGTTAATATTTTAATCGTTCAAAGTAGTACTGTGTTTGGAAGTGTCATTTATTTCACTGGTGAACCTCATCATGGACAATTGACAGATATGATTGGAAGTAATTATCCAGATGATATTAACTTCTGTTTAGTACGTTCGTTTCCAAATACTGTTCCTAGGATGGGAACATTGAAAAAATCAAGCCAAAATGAATGTGTTTAGATTTGAAAGGGAACTCGGTTGTATGGGTATATGTATTAACGTCGAAACCAAAAATGATGGCGCATTAATGAATTTATTACAAGGATAATATGAGAATTCACATTTCACTCTATGTCCGGCGCTTTAACCGGATCCCAAACCAATGGTGCCCATGGGCACTAGTATCCTGCGGGAAAAAATGGCGTATGAACCAATCGCTGGTCACCGACTACCATGGGAATGCATCTCCTCACGATGCTCCACTGCCTTGTTGATCAGACCTTTAGGTCACAGGTTCGGGGTGTGGTTCCCTAAGGAAACCACCTGCTTCGGTCTGGGCACCCGGGTAGTATCACAGCCTACACACACAAATATGGTGTGGCCCATATATATTTGGTGCCCTCTTGTACCAATATTTATGCGTTGAAATAAATAAATCTTCACTCTATTCGTTTTGTTCTAGATCATACAGTTATTATAGGAATGAAAAATATGATCATTCTCTATAATTAACTAGGTTAGAATAGAATTACACGAATGAATCAATTCAAAATTCCCAAAACACTAACAATATTCTTGACGGTGGTCGTCATTCACGTTAAAATGGAGTAGTTGACACAGGCGAAAATATATCAAATTATACTTTTAGAAACGTAGTATAAGGCATGGTAAATTTTTAAAACAATTTATAAGATGAAAGTACCTTCCAAATGCGTAGTTCCATCCATAGCTTTTTGAATTCATCAAAGCCCAAACCACCGCTTAAATCAGCCTATGTATCATTACATGTTATTATGGAACATGGTCAAGGATAATATAAACAATTTGATTAGTCATATAACTAGGGATTAAAATGTACGTTCATTTTATAACTACTACAAAGCCAATGATAATCCAATAAAAATTAAATCCAATCTATTTAGCTGGATTACAGTCCTGAGCAATGTAGAACTTGGCACAGATGCATCGATTCAAAATGTTACATCATATTAGCACAACGAGATTAACAAAATCAAATGCCAAAATTGTAGAAGTAATATAAACTGGATTGCTTTAATTAATGAAGTGTAGAATCAAACTCTACAGCTGTCATTCTCCACAAATCGCACACTAGAAGTAGTTACAAATAAATAGAGTAAGAATGGTGTTGGGTAACAGGAATTTAAAGCAATAATATCAGAGGTTAGATGGGGAATGTAAGTCGGAATGGTGAAGCATAAGGAGCAGTATCCAATAGTCTACAAACGGAGAAAATACGATTTTCGTGGTGGGATGTGGCCAGAGTTGACCATGTGTTCATGGCTTGAAGTATTGATCGATTTGCATTCTCCTTCACATAGCCACACAGAGTACCGTTCAGATATTTGCTTACCAAGAGCAATCCTTGGATACATGATCAGCTCTGGTCACATTCCAACCGGAGAATCATTGTTGTAAATGATATGCAAAGTAAGAAAAACTGGCATAAAAAAGGTTTGGATAAGAAATTGTTGTACAGCTGAGGCTATAGAAATGCGCCATTTCAAATCCGACCTCTGTGTAAGAAAAGAGTCATGTTCGATGCATTATAATTCCATGGTTCCAGCACGCCTCGGAATTTTACAAATCGTAAGTGCTAATTATCATTTTACTCTCAATATTCTTTTTTTTTTAAAGGTAGACAGTTATTGTTTGCTTTTATTGGATAAATTATCACTTCTTGTTACTTTCAAAACTATGAAATTAGTTCTTGATAACTTTGATAAATAATGCAACACTCAGTTTATTCAATACATAAGAACTTTCAATACCACTTTGCCTTCAATAAATTAGTATATTCAATACTTGGAATTTCTTGGTAATCATGATTAGATTATGCGATACCACTTCATTTTCATTGACTTTCACACCCGATACTTGAATAAGTTTGACTATCTTCAATGATTTTATAACAGAGGGTGTTACTATATACAATATATGTATATAACTTATGAATACAATTGTACAGCTTTAGACAATAATGTTGTCGAGAAGAAAATTTTTACGCTGAAACGTTTTCATTCTTTTTAAAAATGAAACTGGTTGCCAAATGTCTCAAATTATTTGGAAAGAATGATAAATGAGATGAGCATGAGTGAAAAAAATTAAATTATCGGTTTAACGGTGTAGACGTTAATTTTAACAATTGACATAACATTTTGCATAGTACCTTAAGTTGTATTTTGAATCAACATTTAACTTATCATTCAAGTCAAGTAAAATGTGATCATACCTAAGGGAGCAAGAACACTCAGATCATTGGTACCAAATTTATCTGGATATGTTATTGTAAATAACAGAAAAAAGCAATTGAATTCATCTACGTGTAAGAAGAAAGTATATCAAAAATAAAGTGTTTCGGAATTTGACTCATGCCATGATAGCATTTCCATACACTGCTAAGCTGTGTTTAAAAGAAAACGATGAAGTGGTTAGCTGTATAATGCGTCTAGGCCTTTCTTTCAGTTATTCTTCCAGTTAATGTCATTTTCTAATCGTGAAAATTACTGATTTTCTTAGTTTGCATAACACATTGATAATCATTAAGAACCTGAATACACTGAGTAGCTGTTTCATTCTGATAATGGGGTTCTTCAGTAGTGTACATCTACAACCTTGACGGAGACCGAATCCAGAAACTCTAAGTTTTATGGAGAGCACATCTACTGGTTTATATTGTCTAACTTCAATCATTTCGCAATATTGCACAACCACCTTTTAATAAATTTTATTATTACTAATCTCCAACGTTTATTGCAAAACTGCTAGTCTAAAATTGAATTTCCATAGACAAAAGTAAAAATAAAAGGATACATCCATTAAGGCCATCATACTTCTAGCAGTTTCTCGACTAAATCCATCGAATGGAAAGTCTAAGTAAGAAAAAAATCAACAAAAATAAATTAAAGAAAATTGAATCAATTAAACTATTCCATTGTGAACTTTTTCTGAGTTGGGTTAGAAAGTATTCATTTTTATCAGAAGGGATTCGTGGAGATTTTAGAAATTTCACAGATTGAAATCATGAGTCATTTGAAGCTAGACCACCATGGAAAACCTGGAAGCACTGGACGGCCGTTTCATTCTACTGTGGTCGTCCAGTGCTTCCAGGTTTTCCATGGTGGTCTAGCTTCAAATGACTCATGATTTCATTCTGTGAAATTTCTACAATCTCCACAAACCCCTTCTGATAATAATCATCTGCTCACTAGTGACTGACTTCAAGAGATACTCCTAAAGTTCTAGTGAGAAGCCGTTACCAGTGGAGTTCAACCAGGTCTGTTGTGAGATATCAGCTCACTGAAGACAATGGTGTGCGATGGCGCAACTTCGTGGATCGGTTGAAGTTAGACATGAACACCATTGGACGACGGCTCAGTATTCATTTTTAATGTATACTATAACCAACAATAAAAGATGATCTTTGTCCATCATTAATTTGTTTTTTTTTCTTGTCACGTATTATCTGATGTATGTGATAATTCAACGTTGATACTATTGAAGAGATTCAAAGAATGCCTCAGAGAATTTCAGAGGCTCTGAAAACGCTAGGAAACATTATATCCATTCAGAGTTGAACAGAAGCTTCTCAAAAACATATAGAAGGGGAGGAGTTGAGATCCACGTTTCTGATTGAATGGTTACCTAACCTGCTACTATATTTAATAAGGTTTCAGGAACTTCCGAGAATCTAAGGCCATCTGAAATACTATAAATACGCTCGATTTTCTGTACATGAACAAACGTTGGAGTAAAACGTTATTTTCAAACTTCGCGCCTTTTCCTCTTATTTTCAAGTTGCCATGTAGATCTAGCCTGAGGTTATCAGAAGAGCTTAGGAAACCGATTCAAGAGTTGGATTAGAATAGTGATTAGATACACGATACGGCTATAGAGTTTATTGACATTTTTTAATTGATAAATGATTAATAAGTTTGGTTTAAAATTTCATCTTTTAATGATCAGCCGCTACTCAATAGTTTTCAGTTATCTTTTAAGATAATCAATTTTGAACTTCTGGCGACAGAACTTATGTTATCTATAATGAATCCCTTAAAATTTACATATTCATATAAAACTGATAAAACCATTTACTATTCATGATATTTTGAGATAAAACGATTTTCACAGTAAATGTATCGACTAGATAGATAAAAAGTTTAGTGTTACCTTTTTGAAGCTAATCGGAAGAAAACTCTGAAATAGTCTTTTTCGATTGGAGGCATTTATTTGAAATAGTGTCCCATAGTGTTGTAATTACAGTCACTATATTAAGTTATCTAGACTTCGGCTCATGTGTTTTGATGTATATACATTGTATTGTGAATAAGTTGTACAACATTTATTCCCCACTCGTAAATTGTGTCAATACACTTGGTATCATCTACATAACTTGTTCGTTTGAAGTCATCTGCAACACCTTTAGTGGTTGCAATGTTTCATCCAGAACTTTTAACTAATTTTCTATTTGTTTTATGTAAGTGGTGTATATTAGAAAACAATTATCATGAAAAGCTTCATTTCAAACCTTAAGTTTCATAAATATTTTTTTCATTATGTTGATTTGTGCTATACTGACAGTTGATAACAGACAGGCATTTGAAATAGTTTGTAAAAATTAAACTCAATTACGTAGCATTTATTCACTAAATGGATGAAACAATTGTCTGAAAACACTAGGTGCAACACACTGTATATTGAAAACACTGCAGATAACCTTCGTCATACTATTCTGAATAACTCAGATATGTTTCTGATCGCATGAATATATATATATTTTTATTGTATAATTATTAAGTAACTAGGTTACTATATGTATATTCCTTTTATTATGAGTTTCCGGTTAACCCATTAACTAATCCTTTGTCACTTTATTAATCACAGTAACTCCCCTGATCACAACCACTTTTGGGCTTGATCATGTATAATTATTTCGTATTTTATAGTCGAGTATGTCGGTACACAAACTCAATATGTTTAAAATATAATATTCGTGTTGTTCAGATTGATCACTATGTTCTGTAAGGAGAGAAGCTACTGAATCTAGAATCAATAAGAGCTTATCTTTGACACAAAGTTATTGGTGATGAGACGGATTTCGATTGTTGTTTTTGTCACGTGATATCGGTGAGTAACCATCACAATATTCACATACAGTTACAACTAGTTTTACGTCATACGCATATATAGAGTGAGATTTAACGATAATACACATAGGATACAAACGAGAAAGGATTGTAGTGGACGTGACATAATTGTTCAAATTCTATGGGTTAACTCTATAATATTATGATTAAAATACAAGTCTCTTGATTTCCAAGCTGTACGAAAATAATGTATTAGCTCTTAGACACTAACTATATTCGAATAAGTAACCGGTTTTGTTTTATTTATGTTTTCATTGTTAACATAAACTTCCAAAATCTGAAAGATTAATTGATAAGCGTCTCAAGTAATTGATAATAGTAAGTATAAATATCAACAGGTCATATCCCAAAAACTTTAGTATATATAGCATATATATGAATAGTAAGAGATTTTTAATAGATAAACTAACTCTACTGGAGATTACCTTTTGTAAATGCTTCATTTAATATATCTTGTAATTGAGTATATGTGATTGCTCCAGTTGGACCAGCTATTTTATTGAAGACAACTTGCAATTTCTCTATTAAATTATCATCAGCTGTTCTAATTGGGTGATCAGGCTATCAATATATAATAAAAAAACAAAACAGAAGAGAACAGATGTAAATACTAACAAGTCGAACACAAAGAAATAATATGAACAAATCTAGTATTAAAGTAGAAATTGATTAAATAGTAAGACTGGTCTTTACAACAAGAAAAAAATCCAATTACATTCGAACGTTCTTAAATTCCATATGGATGTAAGTGAAAGTAGACAGAGATATAACTTGATAGTTACTTGGGGGGTTAATAGCTAAGAACGGATTGTGCTTTATACAATTAGTCATGTGCAATATAGTGCTTGATACATATGTGAATCGTTTCAAGTTGTCAAAGCATTACAGCAAAGCGAAATGAAATTATCAAGACAAATGCCGAAGTAGAAGTAGTAACAGTATCAGTAACGGCAGTAGAAAAAAAAGATTAGTCATAAATAATATGAATTGAGAAGAAATAATGAATTCGTAGAATAAGAGAGTATAAGATCATTTTGAACCTCGGGACATAAAGGAAAGAAGTAAGTGAATACATCTGAGCTATTGTAACCAAATTCCATGCTTTGTATGGTTCTATATACAGGGCACCGAAATACGTTATCATTTAGCTTGATCATATATACTGTATATGCTCACATAATATTTACCATTTGCATTCGATGGATATCGAGTGATCTCTAGAAAAGATTTTAAAGTATCAAATTAGTATACAGGTTTTAAACGACCAACTATATAATTATAAGTAATGTAGGAATATTGATATGTTTCATCACGACGTAAATCAGTTCTATACTAAAAAATAAACTGGAACAAGTAGAATAAATTCTGAGTTAAATTAATGAACCAATGGACTTAAAGATCATATACTTAAAAGACTAAAGTACAACTTCAATCACACGAAAGAAACAATGGATTATCTAACATCATTTTAATTAGATCATTAAACTGTTCAATTCTCAGTTAAGTGAAATACTAATAGCCATTATTGTTAATTAACGATTTATGATAATTTTTATTTTTTTCTCGTCAATGTATCATAAAAAGCGTATTTACGCTAGGTGTGATGACCAGTGATACTACTCACCACCGCAGATTGAAATAAGTGGAGTGAGATTTGAACCTATTATCTAGTGGTCGCAATTTGAATACCTTAACTACTGAGCGATTGTTCCACTTAAAGTACGTTAACAAATTGAATGGATGTACCTAGCTGTACTGAAAGTCTAAAGTACGATCCAGAAAACTGGGTGATAGGTCTGCTACATTACAAACTAACTGAGGTTGAAAGTGTTGTGACTTCTAAGCCGGGCTAATTATCACACGACTTATTCGCCAATCGAAATACGACCTATATAAACTTAACACTGTGCCAAACCAATGACGTTCGACTGGTATGAGCAACCTAGCGTCCTTATTGGTCTTTATTCCTCCTAGCCCTGCCAGTTGAGTCCAGAACACTAATACCAGCTCCCACTATATGAATCACTTATTCCAAACATATCTGGTTTATAAGAAAGCCAACCAGACCACATCACACCATAAAATAGGAAATAACATTTTTACAAGATCAAGCCAAAAAGTGGCTGTGATCGTGGGAGACTGTAATTAATAAACAGAGTATAATTTAAGAATAGTAAATCGTATCATAATAGTCTATAGATAAAAATAAAGCTTATAATGAGAGGTATATGAATATACATAATTTAGTTACTGAATAGTTATACAATAAGAGTATATGTGACATGCAAAATTATTGATCGGCATCCAATCATCATCAAATAGCTTTAGTTGTTAGCTACTGTTCATTACTTCTCTTTCTATGTTTCTTCCTTGAAGCTGCGTTTTAGTTTAGTTTTCTAAGGTGAATGTTATAAATTATTTGTAGATTGTTCAAATCCACATTGAGGTAATCTATTAATATATGTATGTATACATTTGTAAACTGAGTGGTTGAATCACACAGATATTCGTCATATAAATCAGTCAGTCAAACCAACTTAGTGAAACTAAATTAAATAAACAATCAGTTCAATTGGATAAGCTAACTTTAGATTGAATATTTATTTAATTTTTCGTGGAGAGTTGTTCAATTATGAAATTGTCTGCATTTTGAACTGACTTAATCTACATCATTATCTTTCACTGGACAGTTGTTTCATCTTAGTCTTGAACTATTCGACAACAGTTCCCATCCATGGTTCTGCTGGAATTCAAACCTAGAAAATCCATACCTCATGGTAATGGCGTTTCCTTTATATCGCCAAATCAGTAATGGTCCTTACTTTCTGTTATATCCTAGTGAAGATTAAATTATAGGTTGCTTCTGAGAACTATTAATCGAGTAATATTATATATATATATATATATATATTTAAGCATTTAACTAGGGATAAATAGTTAGTTAAGAAGTTCGACTGTTGTCCAGTCGCTAAACGCCGGATTTTGTATCCTACCTACATACCATGAATACTTTGATTTGATCGACCAAGTAGTACTATAGTGAACGAAAAATCAAGTAAAATCACAAAGTGCCTTTGTAAAATATGACAACTAGACGTTAAACGCATCATTTGTACATCTTCCTTCAGTTGTCCTTTGCATAATCCATCATCTTTCTAATTCTCTTGTTATTCCGATTGTATTTTGCTTTGCTTCGTGTTCTCTTTGTTTCAATCTTCTGCTAGTAAGTATTCCACATCCTATTCCTGCTATACACTATTTATATCTGTCCACAAACGAGGAGCATATCACACTCATTCCCGCTTTAAAAAGTCGCTCTTGCAATTGTTATGATCGCCATGCCGCCTTATCATTCGTCAGTCTGTGCGTTGCTCCCCACTGAAATGTCGAGTTCACCGGGGCATCGACCTCCGTAGCTCTGTCTACCGATCGGATCATTTAAACTCGATGTCCGCCCAGCATCCGGGACGTCCAACACCTCCTTTACACCAACAGCAACCCACTGGGCAGCCTACATCCGATTTCCACCCGGCACATTCCGTCTTCTCTAGTCAAAGGCGACTGCTACATTCAACATCGCCTCGCCAAACCACTACACTCAACGTTTCCTTTCCAGATCATTCCAAATAACTACTCCCCCACCGGCCCCGCAGAACTGACCTCTCTCCGCCTCGCCGGAGGCAAAGACACCAAAGGTAATGAACGAAAACTCAGGCAAGGTAAACCAATTTATTGTTCTGTGTAAAATCCCACAGTACCTTTGTAAAATATGAAAATCGTACATTTTGTGCATACATACTACTTATATCTGTCCACATAAGAGGTGCATAAAACAGTACTACTGCACCAAGTCCCATTAATTACAAACAAATACACGCATATTATCAGCTTAAAGACAAATACATAGATGAATTATGTTGTAATGATATACTATAACACTTACTCCATCCATAAAAGTGATCCGAGTATCGTCGTCTAACTCACTAAAATTTGAATAGATAAAAATAACACAGTATTATTATTGTTGCATATCATTCAGACACATATTTTGGGGTGATTGAATATATTTAAAAAATCAATTCTACAGCAAAATGCAAGAAAATCTATGCCCAACAATGGAAGAAAGATACTAGGAACATTAGGCGTGGACGACAACTGTTGGCGATCTCTAATTCAACAGAGAAACCAAGCAACAATTTTTAGCTTTCTATAGTACACACCAATCACTAACTAATTTGAAGTTAACTTAATGAAAATTCGAAGTATGGTACATGGTTTAGTTCAGGGGTCTGCAAAGAGAAGTTTGATTTATAGATGATTCTAGTCATACAATCAAGTATGTATGTGTTCATTCCTGAGGATTCCAATAACAGCTACTCAGAGGATAATGATTCAAACAATAATAGCAAAATCAACAAATGTCAATTTGTGATCTGAAGCATCTAGAGACAGAAAAATTGTTCAGCGGTACAAAATAAAACTATATAAAAACAGTTTAGAAAATCCGACTGAGAATTAAGTTATACAAGTTTATTTCTCAATTCTGAAGTTTATCCCAATCAACAATGAGGAATCATCAGCTTTTAACCAGGCTGAGTAGATATATATATATTCAGTATTCACCTATATAGGGATATTCTCTTTCATATTTTCACAGTTTTAGACAACACTCTCCCTCTGCCAAACACTTGAAAACAACAAAGAAAAATAGTTGCAGAAAAATGCAGTACGGTGAATGATATATCTTGTACATCTTTAGACGAATTCAAGAATCTAAAGATATTTGTTTGCACAATTATTTCATGACTAGTGTTGAAACAAAACTTGTCATAAACTGTGTATATATGTGAAAAACACTAAAAATATCGTCATTACAGATCAAAGATATTCTGAAAAGTTTCCAATTTCTATCTGGAGTTAGTGCTGAGAATGTTATCTATACAAATATGATCTAAACTTAATGATTAAACGATCATAATTGAAAAACTGCAACATCTTCCTATAGGGAAAACTGTATGCATAACAACAAAAAATAATACAGTTTATTAATGATTGGTTGGTGCTAGTTGAGACTTGTCAGCAAGACAGGTGTTCATTGTGTAGTTCTAAATCGCGTCATTCAGCTTTCCAGTTTAAAACGTTACCAATAAACTATTCGGGATAAAACTAATAGTAACATAATTGATTCTTTTTAGTAACTTCAGTTGACAAACTGAAGTGTAGTCGTAACTTAACTAACATATTTCCTACAGATTAACAGATAAAAACAGCATCCACAAGTATTTAAATAATTATTCTCTCAAATAAAGGCACTGAACTTAAGAAAATTTAAAACAGAAACTGTATACATAAATTTCACGCACCATATTTTTCATTGAATACTTTTAAGTAAAAGTCACTTACCTAAGAATTAACATACCTCTGAAATCTAACGAGATTTATGACAATTGTTGATTGTTATCAGAATAGGGATTTGAGGAGATTGTAGTAATTTTAATAGTTGAATTCATGAGTTGATCTAAGCTAGACCACCAATGAAAACCTGGAAGCAGTGGACGACCGTTCCGTCCTAGTTTGGAACCGAAAGCCTTGGGTTTGAATCCCACGTGCGGGACCATCGATGCGCACTGCCGAGGAGTCGCATAATAGGATGAAACGGTCATCAAGCCCTTCCAGGTTTTCAATGATAGTCTAGTTTAGATTAACTCATGAATTCAACTAATAATATTGTTGATTTATGAAATGGGTAAGTTTTATAACTCACAATAGTAATCAGTATGTTACACTCATGTTAAAAAGAAGTAATAAGACTGAGAAAATTTCGAACGTTAACTGTGGCTGAAGAAAACAAATTAACTTAGACTCATAGAGAAAAGTGCTATTTGTATAATAAACTTTTGTCATAACTACCATAAAATATTTTTTTAAAATTCATCTTTGTATTGTTTGTTTGAATCTTCCCATTGATGTTTTGGATTGCAGTTGATCAGTCAATTCTTTGCATATGTGCATCCTATGTGGATTGCCTTGAGTCACTAGCGTTACAAGCAAATATGGATGTTGGCTTGCAGTGAAATCCAGGACGCACGTCTCGCCCTAATTGAGACTCGTCAGCTGGACATACCTGAATCCCAGAGTTGATGTTCACTCCGGGACTTGAGCTCAGTGCCGTTCGCTTCATATGCTATAGCGTTACCAATTTAGCGACCGAGTCCAGATAGCCTCTCTTTTTATGGAGAGACTGAAACAATCATTCATCTCGGTACTATAAACGTCGTCAGTTTGAACAATATAGAAACGAAAATAATTAGAACAACCACTATTGAGGAGTCTCAAACTGTTTAGTGCTTCTACGTTTTCAATGTTTGACAGACTATGACCAATCAGTGATATTGGCTATGAAATTCAAGATTTTATTTATTTGAACGTACAAACATCGGTACAAAGGGGCACCGAATACATATGCGTCACACATTAACAATGAGGGCAGTAGTAGTTGTCATTGATGTGCGTGAGGGCTGTGATGTTCCCGACAGTTTTCTTAGAGGGCTACATCCCGAGCCTTTGACCCACAGGTCTAATCCATAAGGTAATAGAGCAACGCTAGGAGATGCAGTCCCATGGCAGCCGGTGACCAACAATAGGTTCATACGCCATTCGTTCCCTCAGGATCCTGGGGCTCTTATGCGCCATTGCTTTGGAGTCGGGGCTTTTCAACTCCCCATAAGTGGACTGTTCGTGCTCACCAACCCAGTTAAAACATAGGAGATTTGTTTTTCATCCTCAAGATTTCGTAAACAGTAGTGCCACGAAAGGGTGGTGAGTAAGACTTCCTTGACAGTGGCTGTATACGCGTGGCCATGTGAGCGCATTTCGAGAGGGAGAGATGACTCTCCCCACCCTTGGCAGTATCGTAGCATTTGAGGGGCAATTAAAGAACTTCATAAGAACCTAATATAGTAAAAAAAATTTTGTCTTACTTTGAACCACATGCTCGTTCAGAGAATATACGCAGCATAAATTTAGCTTCTTCATTTGGATTAAATGTACACGGGATAATCACATAATGGCCTGGTTTTAATTTATGCCTACCACAAACTTCACGCATATTAATAAATACTGGTGATCGAGCTACAGATGAATTAGTCATAAAAAACCTTCGATCTAACAGTCGATTGTTTGGAGCAGATGGAGGCATCTATAAAAGTGATAAATAGACAGATCAGAGGGTAAAGAAGAATAATAACAAATAGCTGTACAAAATCAAGTTGGTAGTTGTTTACAAGAATTATTTATATCAAAGACTGCTCCTTCTTCCCCTGATTATCTCTTTTGGCGTAAACAGAGAGGTAGTAATGCTAGCGGTCAAAACACACCTTTTTCTTAAAGCTGCGTACATAAAAATGTACTTGTTAGCGCGATAAAGACTGGATTAGAGCATGTTCCTTGAAGAATTGTGATGGGGCACACTGACTGGCTATTTCTTAACCAATCATAGCTAACAGAGAATTAGAGAAGTGTCTGGAAACTTTTTATGTAAAAACTCTAAATATACAAACGCGTATCTTATTGTGATTTCTACTTCCATCTGTCATTGTTATTTATAATATAATTACGTTTCTGTCCAAACGTGTTCTGATTTGGGGACTAGTCGAGTAAATTAGTGTCCAAGATTACCAAGCGATAAGAGAAATTATAACAATATTTGATGAATCAATTATATTAAGAATTTGCAGTTATTGTATGCAATCGTGGAATCTGGAATTTCAAAGTTTATTATGTTCATTTTAAAGACAATTGTATTTATAAATTCATCCAATCGAAGGATATTCAAATACAAATGAACTGTTTAGCCAGTATCCAAGTGCTTTCTAATAAAACCACATAAAGACTGGCATGGTAGTCAAAATGCATGTTTGCAGACTGTTTAAGAAACTACTAGTGTTTATTGTACTTGCACTTTTCAAACATTTTCTATTAATCCAGTTACTTTTGTGCATTCAATCATACGTCCAATAAATTATGTCATGGTTGATCATTTTTGACATGTCTTCTTGATTCTGTGACATTCAATTCATTCATAATTGTAGTTTTATTCCTTTTGTTTATCTTCGTCTATTGGTGTTCACTGGACATCTTTTCATCTGTTACTTGGTATGCAGAGATACCATTTCATTTTGTTGGCTGACACTCATACATTAACACAGTGGTTCAGGTACTTAGGTTATCTCATATTTTTCAAAAAATAATCCTTATATAACTGTTCCCGGGAGCACTACCTTTACGAATGTTTATTAAAACATGTAAACAACGTGGATAACACCACAAATTGTGGTTTATGAAATGCATGACTTATACTATGACAAATAATAGTGTCGTTTTATAGATAAATCCCTTAGTTTGATTTTGGCTTTAAAATTTAGGCAACTCTCAATAAATAAAACTATGTTGCTGTGTTAAATTAACGAGTATGGGATATTTAGAATGAAACAGTCTTTGCAAAACTCTTTTTCAATGACGGAAATAAAGTCCTTTTAACAGCATGTCCACTAGCCTGACTTGCGTTTTTGCAGAGAAATAATCCAAAATATAAAGTCACAAAAACAAGTGATATTTCTGAATACAGTCATCAAGATTGATATTTTTAATGTTGAATAATTGCCTTGTATCTAGCCCATCACTCTCGACAAGTGTGTGAATACTGTGTGTCGGATTGCAATTTTGTCTATTTCATCTCAAGCGGATAGAGCTATTTGTAATCGTATGCTATGGGGATGTCAGTTTAGCACAACCAACATGTTGGATATGGTGGACGTTAGGGATTCAGACGAAATCTTTACCGAAAATCACACACTAGTATGAAGTATTCACTTAATAAATGGACGGAAAATAGTGACTGACATTGTTCGATACAACGTAATTATTGAACAACAAAGACTTTGATGATACCTCTAGTCGGATTCCTATCCTTCTAATGACATAAGCCTATATAGCTACTGTGTAATTATTTGATCGTAATAAATTATTTTTAAAGCTACAACAATGATTAGTTTTGGAACATGACTCTTACAGCAGTAATTGGATAAATTCTTACCCGAAATACAGAATAACCAATCACATGAGGTTCAATGTGTTTTTCTCTTAATCCCTTCTGCATCAAACCAACTACAAGAGTGCCATTACCATCTGTATCTGACTCATCTGGACCAACAACCTCAACATGAAATTGTGGATTCATGTAAAATGTATCTACAAAAGCAACGTGATGAATATAACGTTCAATTAAAGTTACCAGCAGAGTAAAATATATTTTTACATAAAACTCATACTATTGACAGTAGTATAAATATTCCTACAAAAATATATTGTTCATCGGTTTGTTTAAGTACGTTATTTAGCGTACAATAGTAAATGAATATGTCATACGATTATCAAAATTTATGACAGTATATGTATAATTTTGACGTCTCATCATCCAATAGAATATAGCAATGGCTTCCAAATGAATAATTTAACTATATCAAGCTTCATGGTGAAATAAGAAAACTGAGGTGCTAAATTTCAATATTTACAAACACGAACATAAAAACGAAGAATATTGTTACATCAATCCTGGTCTCCAGGTTCTACCGTGGTGTGCTCCTTTTATGTGGACAGATATAAATAGCGTGTAACGGCAATCAGAAGTGGAATGCATACTAGCAGAAGATTGAGAAGATTCAATTGAAGAAAACGGAAGGGGAAACAGGAATCAACTGTATTAACAACAGAATTGAAACAATCATGAAGCATTTAAAGGACAACTGATGGAAGATGCACAAATTATGTATCTAATATATGGTTTGTATATTTTACGAAAGCACTCTGTAATTTTGCATTAAACGATAAATCGGTTATCTCCACATGAGTTGTCGTTCACTGCACTTCAGTTGTATATTCAAATTAATAATCCAAAATGTGACTAGATTTAAGGCAAACACATCGGTGAAAATTATGACATGTGAACACGGGATTGTTTGCAAACATTAAAACTTGTTCAAATTAACACTGTATAATAACTTGTGCATTGCGGGGACATTAACAATCTATTAATTTGTACTCCTTTCCAATCAAATCGCTTCACTGTATAGATGATTTAGAAGGACTTGTCAGGTGGGTCCATGTGACCACAGTTCACAAGATGTTTTAACATTGAACTATTGACTGATTTACATTCGATTTTCAAAAGTCACGCAGGATAATATTCGGAGATGCGTTTAGAAAGCAGTCGCCTTGTGTGGCCCATGTAACCTGCTCCACAAGAGCAAGTGAATATTCTTCATTCTTATATCTGTGTTTCTAAATATAATGAGGATCTTTATGTGATCAAACACATAATGTTGATTAGAATGCAAGTATTTGATTATTACAAGTATTTATTACATACTTACTGGGAAAATTTGAACAACCTCCAGCAGTTGAATTACGCAACCATTCACCTTCTTCACATATCATTTCCCATTGACGTTTATCACAACGACGGTTGACAGGACCTGGACTGTAAGCTATGGATTCTGGTCCAAGGTGACATAACTCAAGACGTGAGAAATAACGTACAAAATCATCGAAAGACATCCTTAAAGAGAAATAAGACGACATTACTTTCATCTTTTTTTTATGGAAAAAACACGTTTATCATCACATATCTACTACCATATTTGAAATATTGTTACTGTGAACACAACAGATAGTCAGTCAGCTAAAACGTAAGACGAGGCACATATATGCATCGGTCCAAGTTGCCACACATCATTAGCACAACAAGATGAACAACAAATTCACAGCAGTTACTTCAGTGGTAGTAGTATGTAAAAAAGATTGCATATAAGATTATGATAGAGGGAGAAACAATTAGTTCGTAGAAAGAGAGGTATAAATTAATTTTAATCTCAGTGTTCAAATAAATAAATAAATCTCAGGGTTTAAGGGAATACAGAGAGTGTATACAACTACGCCACTGTAATCGATTCTGAACCATGTTACAGCAGATAACTTTTGCCTCCGTTCTCAAAAATACAAATGACTAGTTAACACCTTTGTAAAACAAACATCTTTTTCTATCAAAAGCCTTAGCTTTTTTTAAAATAAGAAGCAATTAGGAAACATCTCTTAACTATCTAGATATGATATTACAATTTCATTTAGTCTATAGTGAACTATTGAAAATTGTTCTATAAACCGTGTAATACAGCAGTATATTTGGGTGTTTTTAAAAAAAATAAATGGATTTCGGCTAAGGGTGGAATTTAGAAACATCATTTCATACTATTAGTGACATGTCAGCTGGATGTATCTGAATTCGTGTTAATGTTCATGTTAGGACTCAAACCCAGTACTCCACTTCAAAAAACAAACACCTTACGTCATTCACTGAGCTACTACTGCATATGATGTTTTTATCATTGTTAATGAAGATTTAGATTAACTCGTTGTTGTCACTCACCAATCAATTTTGGTTGTTATACATATTATGTGGGGAGAAAATACAAATGTAAACGTTTCAATGGAAACACTTATATGCCGCATTCTTAGTATTTGTTATAGAAGAGATTTTCTGTGCTTCGATTCGACAATATTTCGATTGTTAAGATCGGTGAATAGAATGCTAATTGAAAGATGAATGCAATGATACAATGTGATCAAGTGGTGGCTACTCAAGAGACTATATAATTGACTTAGGTCCACGAATGATTCGAGATCATATACAAGACCACTAGCCAGATCATGGTAAGATGTCGTCGGTGATTAGAAGAAATTAGGTTGTGGGTCACTCACTCTCCAACAATCAATTAAGACTTGACTGATAGGCCTAATCTTTGAATATCATATCAGTAGAATAATTGCAGATTATTGGACGGTTGATAGGACCGATAATAAGCTGCTTACGATTACCTGATGGTACGTTTACACAATAGACGAACATAATATAGAATATAATTTATTCATAACGTGACTATGCATATCTGTGATTGAGGGAGACATACGATAAAGTACTGTGTTATGACTTACACAGGTAACTGAACTCAAACATTTCGACGTTAAACTTGAAATTTCAAAACAATCAAGTTTTGACTTATATCATTAAAATACGAATTATAAAAGCTCACTATTTTGAAAGAGATTTATTTGTCCAGGAATGTTAATTGAAATGATAATATTAAAGAATTGTAACAAACTCCTAGAACATTACAAGTAAAACTGTACTTATTTTTGATAGAAATCTTTTGTTTTGTTCTAGAAGTGGAACATGAAATAAAAGTTTTGATATTAAAATGCAAAAAAACGCAAATAACAGACTGCAAGTAATCTTTTCTAAAAAGAGATAGTATGGCTGTTAAAATACACCATTGTAATCAATTTGATAAAATTATATTCTCCCGACAAACAAATCAAATTCCAGATGACGATTACGTTACTGCACAATATTCAAAATGCGATGACTGAGAGCTTGTATCTTATTAGTAAAAGCCTTGTAAGATACTTAGTAAAGTCTATTTATATTTTGTTGATAAATTGATAGAAATGAAAAGACCAAAGAATAGGAATGAAACTGATGAACCCTTAAAACGATGATATGTGAAGGATTAGGTTGACATGGAGAACATAAAATTAAAATCCATAAACATTCTAACATGGCTTATAAAGTTTGAAGGGTTGTTTAAGGGTTCTTCCTATCTGAAGTTATAGAACTAGTTACATAAGTATTCATTAATATGGCTACAAAGTATTCTTTGATTTTATACCTAACCATTACTACTCCCAACCCTATGTAGAACTCATAAATCAAACTCCTCACTCTAATCCTAACATTTAATCGGTCTTTATTTAGTAAACTATTCACTCATATCAGATGCATTCTGAATGGTTAAACATTAGCTTTATTTCTTAGGGTTAATTAAGTGCTATTAGAGATTGTAAGTAGAGTATACTTTACCAGCAATCTTGATCTGTTTGGGCTGTATTTATACTTTCTTAATGTTCAGTAGAAGTGCGACATTTAAAACTTTTTTTATACTGGATACAAGAGTGTAATTTACCCTGAGGACTACATTTTATTCAGTCATTTATGAGCAGGCTATTGCAACATATACCAACTTGCCGAATGAAAAAGTACATAAGGTGAACGTTAGTGCTTAAAAATGAAACCAGCGAAAATCATGATTTTATATGCAGCATTCACTCACTGAATGATAAGGAAAATACTAGAAACCTCATACATATTCAACAATGAGGCAGATGCATTTTAAATTCATGAACATGTATCCTATCCATTAAATAATTCTATCGAGATTAAAAATGAATTCTTCCATGCTATTAACAAAATATTATCCAAATATTTCATTAGTAAAAACAAGAATATTTACCAAAATTCACCATCTTCATCAAAAGTGAGACCAATTCGTTTTCGTTCATCAGGTGGAATATTTCTCCATTCTCTAGATTGATCACTCCAAGGACCTGACCATTCACGATCGTTACCCCATGGATTACGTAGACGGATTAGACGAATACTTTGAGATTGATAATTAGTATGAACCTTAAATGAAAATTCATTAAGAATTATTAAAGTTCAATCATTTCGGAGGAAACTTGACATTTTAATTATGTTTGTTAAAAATGAAATAATAAAGTGATGAGCATTTTCTCATTAAAGAGTAGATAATTACTTATGATCGTGGTATAACTCATCTAATCTAATTCATATACACATCGTTTATATGACACTGACATGCAAACTAATTCGATTCACATAGATGCTTTTACATGTTGTATATGACGCAGTAGTTAGTGAGTTATCAGCGCTAACATTAAAGAAGCTAAGTACAGATATACATTTATACTTTAAGGTTCGAACAAACACCCCAAATTAATTAGTTCTGTTAATAAAAGTAGAATAACAATGAAGCAACGATTAAAGGTTGTTTTAAAAAATAGACAATCACGATTGTAGATGAAATAAATTCATGAAACAATGCACTATGAAACAAAACAGTTTAAGCTGATTTTCTTAGTTTTATGAAGTGAATAGAGCATAAACCTCAATTAGCTATTAGTTATTTGATTTTGGTTTAGTGCTTCGTGTATTAGAGCTATCAGTCCAATACTGTAAGTGTATGTTTCTCTTCAAAATGCGAAACTTGTATAAATTAGTAATTTTTTAAATGGATAACTGATCAATGAAAAAGCCAGTTAGTCGATAAGACCGTTTAATGGATAGACATAAATCTTGGAAAGTCAATTATAGAAATGAACTACCTCTAGGAACATATATCTAAGAAAACATATAAAAATAACCCTTAAAACGTGTGACGTAACCTGACCAGATGACTGCTCATCATCAGCTCTTAGGCTTGACCGATATTAGTCGAGTAAGGCGACTGAAGTGAATTGATGTACACTTCCTTGGTACGAGTTTTTCAATGAAAAACAAAAACATTGAAGATAAAAAAAAGTTTGTCTTCACATTACAGGTTAAACTAGATTTTTATCTCTTGTCAGATTACCCAAGTTTCTTTCAATCTTCTGATAGTGAGTCGTAAATAAAGGCAATACAGCAATTAGAAACTTGGACACAGTTTTTATACAGCAAATCCTAGTCCTGAAGTCAAATTATGAACAGAGTAATCTTTTAGAGATGTGATAACGAGGAAAAGCTGTACGCATTACTAACACTATAAATTATACCACGGTACTTGATCACACGATAGATACACTACTACTCAATTATTTGGCAATTCAATCAAGAACCAAATACAAATTAAAAGTTTACTAACACAATATAGACAAGTTAGTAAATGAAATCAATGTTATTATATGAGGTAGTTGTTTATATTTAGTCTTGCTTGGACTATCCATTTTCAGTCATTAACCAATACACAGTGCGATTCGATTCAGACTATCAAAAAGTATTCAACATTTTATTTATAAAATTTCGTAAATATTAACTAACAGAATTAATGCTTAAACTATAGTTTTCTGTAATTTGACACAATTCCTAATTCATGAGAATTCTTTCAACTTAATGATATCATACTTTTGTCATAATATAATACTGCTAATTAATGATTAGCACAAGTGTAGTGAACAAAAACACCAGTGAGGACAATCGAATATATTTGACATGAAATTACAGAGCATCTATCTCACTAAAATCTGAGAACCATATAGTAAATAGTTAATTTGTAAAATATCAATCCATCGTCTCAAACTTGACTGTTCCTTTTGCAAATATCAGTCCACGCATTTTCTAACCAACTGCGTTTCGTTTCCGTTCTTTTCTTATCGATCTTCTACTGAAATACATTCTATGTTTGACCACTGTTACATACTACTTATGTGGATATAAGTAATCCACACCACACAAGTAGTGTTATAGTTAATCATAACGATAATAATAATAATAACGGAAATAGTATATGAAATCTTACATGAAACAGCACAATATAAGTGAATTTTAACCTTAAAAGTTTATTTAAACTCATTAATACAGTAAAATTTCTTTTACAAATTCAATAAATCTGAACAATTCTTTATTGTAAAGTTAAATAAAATGAATACAGAGATTGATTCTAAGTAGTATGTACTTTACAATAAATAATAGTACTATAGAACAATGTGGTTCATTGAATGAAATCATATGTTTTAATAATGGCCTCAAAAAACATATAAAAAGAATATAATTAATTAAGAAAATGAATGATAATAAGAATTGGTTCTTTAAATAACTGATTTCTACTGTAAGAAATTATAAATAGAAGTATTTATAGCGAACCTACTATATGAATCATAAAAAAGAGTAAAGGAAAATAAGATATAGATGCATCATTTCAAGTTGTCATATATCAATATAGTTAGATGAAATTATCAAGAGAAATGTCGGAGCCGTATTAGAAGTAACAATACTGATGGTAGTGTGAAAGATTAGGCTATAGATAATAATGTTAGAATCTCAAAGAAGACAAAAATATTGAATGCATTTGAGATATTGCGACTGATTCTCAACTATGTTATCGAATTCACTTGGTATTGTTTTACTTGAATGTTCTCATTGATGTTTAGGACTGTAATTGATCAGTCTCGTATTAGAGTATGTGCATACTGTGTGTATTGCCTCAATTTACAAGCATTATAAGCAAAGATGGATAGTAGATAGCAGCGGAATCCAGGACGCGCGTTTTGTCTTATTTGGGACATCCAGCTGACGAGTCCAAAATAGGAAAAAACGCGCGTCCTGGATTCCACTGCTAGCCACTATCCATCTTTGCTTATTATGTTATCGAATGTTTCCAACCTTCATCATATAGATAAATAAAACACGATCGAGGTGATTTCTTCCAGTTTATTTTGAAAAGTTTACTAACTATGTCGGTGTTTTTCAAGGTCAATGAAAAAACACACAACTTATTCCGCTATTATTATACAGCGGGAATGACATGGAAATTACACAAAATATATACTTCTTAAGGATGTAAACTCTATATGAAATAGATTTCATAAAGGATTAGTCTGTTTGATCTCATTTGTTCAAGGTGAACACTTAGAATAAATCATGCCATTACTGACTGGAACGAATAATCAGGACCATTTCACTGTTAAAATGGTGGGAGAACAAAAACTTTCATTACCACGTTTCTTAGATTACATGGATACATGACATCTCTTTGGTAGGTTTTCAATGAGTTGCCGTATAATTTTTGCGAAATATATGAGAAATTGTAATTCTAAGTAACATAAGTTAAACGAGATGGGTTAATTAAGTGAAATATTTAAACAGGCGGGTAAATTCAATGAATGTGTAGCTCACGATAAATGTTAGTCTCATCGCTGTAGTAACGTTTTGATTCAGTACAAAATGTTAAAGACTGTGTACTTTTCGACAGATTTTTCTATTTTACTATTCTTTTATTTTATATAAGTTCCTACTGGCATGTTAACATGCCAAACCCTGAGATAGTAATACCAGAAATAAAACCGATCCAAGAGATGTTTAACAAAATTAGATTATATTTCGATATATGGATGATAAAGAGTTGAAAGAATCAAGGGAAATATATCGAGTAATGACTGAAAATTATTTCACAAGGACAATCGATCAGTCTATACAATAATTTCATACTACTGAAATTCGAGAAAGCGACAATCAGATATTTTGAGGAGTCCAAAAATACCTTTTCATCGTCCCTAGAAACGCGGAAAAAGCCAAGAAATACTTTACCCAACCAGCACTAAATAAAACCTCTTCAGAAACATCGGGAAAATCAAGACAAATTCTATAAAACCAAGGTCACATGGAACTCTACAAAACTCTTGGTCGTTTTTCATGCCTTTTCTCTATTGTTCGAGTTGAAGTGTAGTAGTCCGGAGTAATAGGAAGCCAGTGTTAAGCATTTTAGTAGCAAACTTGTCAAGATATGTGTAGAATTTGAAGTGTATTGTAAAATGCGTTAAAATCTGCAGTCTAATTTAGTCACAATTGTCAACTAATTAGGCAAAGTAGAAGGGTAAGAGTTTGTAAAAAGTTGTATTGTCAGCGAGTAAATGAATAAGCACATAAGTCATCTATATCTATACTACTAAACTGATTCAGGTAGGAATATATGAGCGGTGACCTTAACCAAATGAACAATTCCCCTAATTACAACTGACTATTAATCAATGTGCCATATTCAAAACAATACCTCTGTAGTGTATTTAATAAGCTACAGGTTGGTGAGAACAAAGTGAAAATGACCGTCTATGAATACAATGAGAGATAATATATTCACTCATTCGTTTAATAATGTATACAAATATAGTGCTCAAATCATTGTCCTATAACATTGATCCTTGATCTATTGAGGCTATCTTGCATTGTTTGTCTTTACAGCGTTATAAGGGGTCTTGAAAGAGACTGATAAATCACCATATAGATGAATTCTTGATTCGCAAAACTAATCATAGACACTGACAAATGAATAAACAATAAAAACACATTGTATATATTCACAATTCATTATAATCTTTAATGGTAGGTTCCTAATTTAACATAGTAAATATATACTAACTCGTCAGTCGGATGTCATAAAAGTTTCAAGGTTACTAGTTTTGGCAAGATCCAATAGAACACTTGTTACAAAGTTTTATTTAAAGAAGTTTTACAAAATACTTACTAATAATTACTCTCTATTACAATCAGATTATTTCTAACGTATATTGAAAGGGTTGGAATACAAAGATCTCAATAACCAACATCAATATAATTAATAATTTGGAACATAAAAAGTTGTTTTTTTTTCGTCTAATAACAAAAGCATAAGTGAACCAACCACCTATCGGTTAACGAAATAAGAAAAGATGTACATCAGGTAACCATGATACATCAAACATTGAATCTTTCCTTTAAGAAAAACAAACCTCTATACACAATCTGATCAATAACAATATTAAGCTTAAAATGTTTTTCATTCAGTAATAGTTTTCCTGAAGTCTTTTAAAACAGTCATGTGAATCAACAAGCAATGTTTTTCAGAATAAAATGAGTCGGTAAAACATAATTTC